TACTATGACTCGGCTCTCACAGGACTAACAGATTCATCGTGAGGGAGAGAGGTAGTAAAAGAAAATGAGAGGGGCTGGGGACAGAGAGGAAAAGCTGATTCAACCAAAGACGCTCCCTCCTCTCTGACTGAGCTGAGGCCGACGCACGGAGGGCTTCTTCCCTCCTCCCAGCTCGGCAGAAACAGATGGGGGGGGGGGGGGGGGGGGGGGGGGAAGGTGGCAACTCTGCACGGTCCCCCGTCCACAGCAGAATGTCAAATTCAGCAGTTTGACGAATGCCTCAGCCTTCTCTGCATGTCATGCGCCCGCTTTCAAATCTCCTTAGTCATACGTTTCCCCGAGCATTCTAAACGTCTCCCACACAACAGTTTCACGGGGTTGAAGGCACTGATTATCACCTATTGAGCCAAAATGGGATCAATCCAATCAATTGTATTAGCCCGCTTAGGTATTTGTTGTTCTTTCCGTGCTAATGTCGCTAAATGCGGAGGCTAAAAAAACATGTATTCTTCCGTTATATCTGGAATAATGCACAACAACTTTTTGTGAAAAACTAGAATGTACTGGCTTTTGTAATTAGTTTAATACATGTCATTAGTCCATGAACAAACCGTGTGATGAGAACGCTAGAGTCAGGGTTGTAGGCGGAAGTCAACAAGCTGCTATTACTGCGGTGGCACCCCACTTGTATTTAAAACAATTACAATCTACAAAAGATTTCAACTAAAATTCCTCCAATATTAACCGACTATTGGGTGTCTTTTCTGTTGAGTGTCGTTATCGGCTTCTCCAATAACAAAACATGAAACCAACTTTCCATTCTCCATTATTATTGAATCCTCACATTTCAATCGTATTCTTGAGTGGCTCGGCGACTTGTCTCGTGGCTCGTTTGGTCGATACTGTGCGATTTTAAATAGTTTTTTCATTGTTGTGTTGTTTGCGTGGGCCCCAGGAAGACTGGCGACCCCTTTGTGGAAGCCAACGGGAATCAAAATTAAGTATGAAGCAATCACTTATTCCGTTATTGCTTATGTAAGGTGCTGTTGTGTGCAGTATGTTGCAACTGAGCTTGACAGTGGGTACGGATATACAAGACTCCGTGACATCACAGCGGCGACGGTGCAACCTCGGAGGGGAGGCGGAGGGGCAGCCAATCGGGCGAAGCCCGCTTGGCCGGCCCGCTGCGCCACGCCAAGGTGACAGGGTGGGGGTAGCAGACCTTGGAGCGCTGCCCCGCTTTCCTGAGATGAGTGATGCTGCTGCTAGTGACACCGGAGAGAGGATGGAGATGGCGGGGTGTGTATATATATGTGTGTGTGTGTGTGTGTGCAGAGTGATATAGGAGGCGTGGCAGCTGAGGGGACGGCAGGATGGGAGCAAATTAAGTTGAGGAGATGGTCACGTAACAGCCGGGTTCAGGCAGAGTTGAAGCCACTTGCTTGCTGTGCTGCAGCTGGTAACATTTACCTCAGCTCCTACCACATAAATGTGTGCGCACGGGCACCTAAAGTAGCTCTGACACACATAAACTAAGTCTGAATTTTTACAATGGAAAATAAGTTAAAAACAGAACTCCCCTTTTTAGACACACACACACACCCCTCTGAGGACCCCTTTAACAAGCATCTATTACCTTACAGCAAGAAGAAACGTGAAACTAACCCCCCTCCTCCCCCTAAAACCAGCTCTCCTCTGTTTGGGGCTCACAAAACAATTGACAGATTGCGTTTCTCTAACTGTCTTAATAAACAATGGTACACAGGTTGGACCTAAACCATCATGTCACCGACCACAAAAGGCGGCACCGCTCTCCCTGAAAAGTCCTGCTGAACTCCGCGTGCACTTAAGAACAAGAAGAGAAAAAACCAGAAGCACATGAAGAAAACCACCTTCAATATTAGGCACCAGCACATGTTGTCTTTCCAGGATGTTGTGGCAGATTCAGGATTATGAAGAGTATACAAGTGTTTATCTGAAACCGTGCCGGTCCTCTGTCATCTCGCCTTTGTGCGTTTGCAGAGCAGCAATGCAAGTGATGTTCCTTAAAGTCCATACACAGTGTGTGTTCAGATGCTGCAGATAGAAACTGACAATCACCAGAGAAATTAGGTAAAATACTAAAAACAATGGCCTTAAATAACTCAGAGCTACAGCAACCAAAGAATGACTGATTGAGACACTTTACTTCTCTATAAAACTGGTAAAAACGTATTTTCATCTCAACAATGTGATGTGCTTCTCTGATTAATTACTGCGACGTGAACATGAGAGTGCGATCGATCAATCTTCGCCACTTCAGCTGAATTTCATCCCAACTCGTCCCGTCTCATGGTCAATACAGACAACAGCGTGTGTGGTCTTTGTTATGCGTTGTACCACTACTACTTGCATATTTTTTTTTTTTGCCTTGCTAGCAGCGGGGCTGCAGACAGGACAATGTGGATCAGTCCACCACTTTGGCTGTAATATCTCAACCGCCATTCATGGTCCCCAGCAGATGAACCTCATTGACTTCAGTGATGCCCTGACTTTCCTTCTAGCGCCGTCATGATGTTGACATCTGTGGTTTTGAGTGGAATGTCTCAACATCTATTGGATGGTTTGCTGTGACATTTATGTTCCCCTCAAGATGAATCCAGAAAGAAATTACATTCCCATCCACCTCAGCTGTACTTTCTGCCCAAGTAGCTAATGTTAGCATGCTAACACACTAAAGTGGTGGTGAACATGGCTGAACATTATACCTGCTTTGCATCAGCAGGTTAGCATTGCAATTGTAAGGATGTTGCCATGCTAGTATTAGCATTCAGCAGAGCTGCTTGAGTGGAGACACGCACACTTGTTTCCTCCATTTACCGTAAAACACTCACTAGGTGTTCATCGCACAACGACACGCCTGACAACTGAGGTTTTAGTCGACCAAGATGTTATTTGACCCGATTTCGCACAGTGTAATATGCAATGCACCTGCAAGATTGCTGCCATCACACAATGCATTGGGGTCTTTAAGGCACTGTAGTGTGTGCTGTACTGAATCCAGTCAGCACCAGTGAACATGCAGCAGAGCCCCTGAGGGATGCTGCAGCCCTCTGAGGAGAGGGAAGGAGAGGAGGTAGAAGAAGCCCCAGGTAGCCTCACAGCAATGCACCATTAGAGAAAGGAAAACACAAAGCCAAGCTCTGCTGCTCGCTTCTTCTCTAGACACCGTATCCTTCTCTCTCTCTCTCCCACTGACCAGCTAAATATTTTATCAGCTGGCAAAAGAACCTACAAGCCCGAAGGCCAGGGGTTCTTTTGTTGTTTGTTTCTTGAATTGAAGAAGGTATGTGTGTGTGTATGTGTGTGTGTGTGTGTGTGTGTTAGAGGAGGGTGGGGGCGGAGGTTGTTCACCAACCACAACGTCACAGAAGTGCTTTTGATTGGTCACTTTGAAGTAGTTATTCTGTTTCTCTTCTCTCCCCGTGTGCATCCTCTGTGCAGCACGCCGCTCGGTTCAGAACTGGTTGAACGACCTTGAGCAGGCGCACGGGGCTGTGTTGCCATGGCAACGAAGCCTCGCGCAACCAGTAACAGCTGGATGCAACAGCACTCCCCGAATTTTAGCGGGAGTCGCCACGTTAATAAAACGACTCTCCACGTCTCCTCCCCCCTTCTCACTATCTATCCCCCCCCTCCTTTGTGTCTCTCTCACACACACAGACGCACACACACGAACACCGTGGCTGTACAAGGACAATATGTTTGATATGAACACATAACGGAATTAACTTGTTTAGCTTTAAGTGCCATGATTCAGACGTAAAGAACATACAGACATGGGCGCCCGCTGACTGCATAACCTCGAGAGAGAAACACAACGAAGAAGACAAACACTAGATGAGGAGGAGAAAACAAAAAAAGACTGAAATCAAGAGTGAACCGATGGCTAGTTACAAAACAAAAACACAGAAGAGGGAGAAACGCACCGAGATGGTCACTTGACATTCCTCTCACAGAAGAAAAGGCTGCTCTCGGAAAACAAAATAAAGCGGCGGAGGACATGAGCTGCACCGAGACATTCTGGGAAAGGGAAGGAAACAGAAAGCGAGGAATCGGCAGCAGTTCTGACGGCGCATCAGCTCATCCCTCCAACTCTGTTTGATGCTTCGTTATTCCATCACAGACAAACAAATAAAATCACTTTTCAGCTCCTTAACTTTATACCCAAAACACATTTTCCTCCAGACATGACCAAACAAAAGATCAACTGGATTTCCAAAGAGCAGAAACTACTGACGCAACTCTTAGATCAATTTCAGACCAAAGCAAGGACATGACCCGTGTTTGCTGTTAGTCTGAATGGTTCGCCTGTTAAGTGACCTAGTTTCACAACTCGCTCCAGATCGGTGTTCAACACAGGCCTGAACAAAGAAGAACACAGACATCCCTCAATAACAATCACATTTAACAATTTATACATTTATAGGAATTATTTGATTAGCAATATATTTAAATTTTGCTTTGTGAAGCAAAAAAATGGTGAGAAATGCCCATCATTTCAAGATAATACCAAATTGCTTGTTTTGACAGACTAACCGGTTAAATCTGAAGGATATTCATTTTATATTAACATAAAAGTTCAAATGAGAAGCTGGAGCCAGAGAAAAATATTTTTATCATTAACAGTTCACATCCATCCCTGGAACTACTTGGAGTTGTAAAACAAGAGTCAACATAGGCGTAAAAGTGTTCCAATTAGTTTTCAAAGAATTAGTGCAAACAAGTACCTGGTTTAAGTAAAACCCTTCTTGCACGTCATTCCCCATCTCACTCCCTCAATGCAGCGGAGGCTGGCAGCAAACTAACCTTTTCCAGGTGTACATAGTACTGCACTGGATGGAGTGTAGCATGTGATTTCTCTTTAATTCGGACCAGCAGTTTTTAAGTCTGTTTTCAAATCTGTTTTAAAGGCGTTTTTTTTTTAATTTATTTGGAGATATAGAGGAGGAATGTTGTACCTGAGCAGAGGATGAAGTCACTCTCCTGCCGTGTGTGCGCACCCCTCTCCTCGCGAGCAGGTTGTAGGCGCGTGTCGGTCCGCACGTGTGCAGAGAGACTCGGGCCAGAGTTGACTGTAAATATGTCAGGAGAGGGTTGCCATGGAACAAGGCGAGGGCGCCTCATCACCGGTCCCTTACACACGGGAGGCAGACGGACGACTCAGCCGTAGAGCTGGAGCGGTTAGTCGATTAAACGAATAGTCAGAAAATGTAATCGTCAATCATTTTGAAAATAGATGAATTGTTTAATCCCATAAACAGCAGCAGTCCTCACTCAGGAGCTGACAATATAAAAATTGATTAAAAGCAGAAACAACAGTGAGACAAGAACCCCATATTACTGTCATAACATTTTGAAATAGGAGTTCATACAACAAAATAAAAATAATAAGCTAAACTGCCTCTTCTTAGTTGAATAGTCATTTGTTATGCTTTTCTTTCATGCACAATGATTTATTTCCAAGAATCTTATGAACACATCTCTGGTAAACACAAGATTAAGAGTGGTGCTTTTGTGCGATTCTTTTTTTGGAGAAATTCACTTTCACGGATCTGTGATCAGCAAATCGATTAGACGACAAAGTCATAAAAGACTGTAGATTTGCTTCATCTCCATTGGCTAATACTGACTTTTTGATTGTACATTTTTCAGAAGAAAATAGAAGAGTAACCGTTTTGGGGGGTCATTTTCGGACACGAAGAAGGTGTTTAATAATGTCATTTATCAATCAAAAACTTTGACCATTCTCTTGTTGCAGCTTTTCCGACGTGAGCATTTGCTGCGTTTCTCTTTTTATATCACTCTAAACCTGATCTCTCTGGATTTTATACTGATGGTCGGACAAAATACGACATTTAAAGATGTCAAACTTGGACTCTGGGAGACTGGGATGGACATTTTTTTATCACATTTCAAAAGATGAAAAAAGATGACAGGTTAATAGATCATGAAAATAATCAGTAGTTGCAGCCTAATTCAGCCAGAAAGCAAACAAATCTAAATTTACACACTAACCTGTGTGTAATTAACTCAACCTCACCTGTCCACACACACACACACACACACACACACACACACACACACAACCCATCTGCATCGCTTCCATTCAAACACTGTTTACACACACTGAAGAGCAGCCTGCTATTATCCAGTGCCAGCAGGTATTGTAAGGGCGGCCCTTGTGTCACGCTCAAGGACGCGCTGCTTTCTACATGCACACGCCACCCTGGCTCGAGCCGTGGATGCCTTCAGGGTTACAGAACAGCGTGTGTGTGTGTGTGTGTGTGTGTGTGTGTGAGTATGCGCACAGAGCCACGTTGCTGCCCCCTGCAGATACACAGCAACACGCATTAAGGATGAGGCAGATGACATGAGTGGCGTATGAAGGAGACCTAAGTAGAGGATAACAGGAGCACGGCGACCATTCACCTCACACATTTATAGAGAACGCATGCCCCATTCAGTGCGCCGACTTGCACACTGGAGACGTACAGTAGAGTCGGTGCACTTTCATTTTTTTTGATCGCTAAGCAGTTGGGACTCGGGGAAGCAGGCAGGCTGGTTGACTGACAGACAGTCAGCATCGTCTGTCTCTCCCCACATGGCACGTTTCGTAGTAACAACCCCAGTAAAATACACCATATCCTCGTTTAAACATGCTGCATATGACACACGGGTGATCGCGTCTGCATGCATTTGATTGAACGAACATTTCGTAAATGTTTCCCCCTCATGTTGCGACAGCGTCAGGATCAGCTGTTGGACAGTTTCCCACAGACTATCGCGGCGGGGCGAGAGAAAATGAGTAAATCACGCTGTGTGTGTGTGCGTGTGTTTACGCGCGTGTTAATGTGTGTGCCCCCCCCCCCCTCCCCAAAAAAACTTCCAGATGCTCCGTATCTATCTGGAAACACTTCTTGTGATCCCACCAGCTCGTGCGTAAACTGGCGAGCTTTTTGCGTGATCCAAGTTAAGTTGATCACAAAAAAAAAGAAATCGGGTTCGTTTCGTTTTCTTTGCAGCACAAGCGTGCACAACCAAAAACGGGACAGCTCACGTGCACTTCATCGCCGTGGTGAGCAGGTTAGTGAATCTTTCGCTGTCATGTAACTAAATGACCGTGCACTGTGCCCTCCGCACCGTAGCGACGCCAATATTGTGTGTGTGTGTGTGTGTGTGTGTGTGCACTGTCGCTTAGCGCAGAAGTCACTACGTTTCCGTCTTCTGTCCAAATGCAAACCGAACGCAAAGTCGCGTGGAAATCAGCTGGTTCTGTTCGCAGAACACGCTGCACGAGCTTACCTTGTGGACGTGTCGCTCTGCCGGATCGATAATTTCTTCTTTACACCATTAACTCTCCGCCATCTTCGGCACTGTTTGTTTAAATGGGAAACACTCCCGAAACCCAAGAAGCCAGTTCTGTAAGTTGGGGCGTCGCGGGGACTTCTGGGTAAAGCAGTTCGTTGGGGCGGAGCGCCGCACTTCTGGCCGCTGTCGTCGAACCCGGACGCGGACTACAGGGCCGACTCCACCACCGCAGGGGGGAGGAGGAGCGGGGAGGAGGCAGAGGTGGCGTTGGAGGTGGGGAAACAGGCACCGTCTCTGTCTCGCAGCCTGCAGACGGATGTCAGCGACGATAGCGGAGCGGAGATGACACGGTGTGTATTTTCAGTTAAATGACATGCAAACACTGGATTGATTGCTAAAATAAATTTAAAAAAACACCACTTCTGGACTTTCCACCCAAAAGAAGGCGTTTAGCTGGAGGGGGTGACACAGAACCAGACATCCTAAACTTGCAAGCAAATTGGGACTTGAAGGTTTTATCCTCATCTGATGAAGATGAGTTGGTCTCTTTGGATGAATTAAAATCCTCGTTTGTGCCAGTGGGATTAGTTCTACCGCTGCAAAGGACCATACCAGTGGTTTTTGCACGTGTTGCCCAAAGCACTATACAAACCATCCACTTACAGACAAGCATTTTGTAAAAAAATCTACTGATCGAGTTTCAATTAATTTCCTTCCATTATTAGACGAGATTTAAACTTTGTTGTGGAGTAGCCTTCATACTGAGACAACTCAGTTTGGAATCTAACCAGAAGTGCATAAGGCAGGAATTTGAAGAGTAATGTGAGTAAATGAGTAAATGTTTATAATGATTAATAAAATAGATAGAAATAAGAATATGCTGGATATAAAACTATGGCAATTATACAAGTCTAGCTGTGTCTTTAAACTTGCTTGAGTTGTCAATATGTTTTGTACATTCCCTCACAAAACTGTAAAGCTTTCATTTTTCATTTTAGAAAACAATTGTACGAAAGTTAACGCTTGTATGAGCCGTGAGCACTTTAAGAAAAGGGTGATTCTCAGATGGTTGATTGAGTAGTTTTAGAGGCAGAAATAAGAAACCAGATAAATATATTTCAAATGAATAATCATAATACAATAATATAATACACATCATACACATACAAAAGATTATTTTACTTTTCTGGTATATTTAACATATACATTGATGCTAATACATTCACACTTTTAAGTGTATTTTTATTAAATATCGTTTACTTGTAACTGAGTATTTCTGCACTGTGGTACTGAGATAAATATCTAATTACTTCTTCCACCATTGGTTATGATTAATATATTATCAAAAGAGTTCATTTTCTGTCAATCAATTTATCAATATTTTATTTTTCTTGAATACTTACATGTAACTGTTATTTTGTAGACATGCATGCAGTTGTGAGTGAAATGTAAAGTGTGAGTTATCATAATTACTGATAGTATTTTATAGAATATGTACTTGCATTTTTATGTCAAGGGTATGAAATGATGTCATATTTCGGTCTTTGTGAAACCCTCGGCTGATTCACTGCTGACACACGAGTCCCCAAACTCAGATATCAAAATAACATAAACTAATAAATATCATATAAATTCAACACTCAACAATCTTGAAAATTAATATTAAGGTCACAATGGAGATATAATGTGCAACAGCATCTTGTCCTGTCAACATTTAGATTTTTCTTCCTCATGAATCAGACAAATGCTAAAATGTCACTCCACATCCTGCAGTCTTTTTGTTACAGGAGCCATCCTTCTGTGAAGTGCGTTTGTTTCACCGAAGGGACTGTGGCTCCTCCAGGCCTCCTATCTCTTATAGATGAGGCCCATATGTGGGCTCCATATGGGAGCTGGCAGGGTCAGCGTGGAGCGGTGACGTCGGAGCCGGGCGGCCTATGAACCGGGACACGTCGGCGCAGCGCCCCGACGGCTGCCAAGATATACAAGGCAGGGACTGATAGCACCGAAAAATCCGTCACTATGGTGATGCCAGGCGGACAAGAGTACAGATAGATGGATAGACACACACACACACACACACACACACACACACAGAGTGAGTGAGGAGCCTGTTGTGTCAATGACAGTGGGGATGAAAGAAGATGAGAACTGGAAGGTGAGAGAGAAGTGAGACAAGATGATGAGGTAGTCGAGTTTAGTTTAAGGCAGTTTAAGAAGAAGCAGAGACAAGATCACAGATAATGATAAATGATGCCTATTGCCTGAAGGGAGCGTCGCTGGGAAAAAACCTATAGGTGTTAAAGAAACACTAAGTATGAAAAGGAGAGAGAGGAAGCGAGCATAGAGTTGTCAGTGTGAGGAAGTGTTGTAGCTCGGAGGAACATAGACGGAGTGAAAATAAGGTAAAACTACACCGGTTTGACTGGGAAAGTGAGGGAGGGAGGGCATTCAAGATGGAGATGAGTGTAAGAGACCACGGAGAGCATGAAGATGTTGAAATGGGGTTGTGGAGAAGGCTTAAAGCAATTAGCCTCATGGGTCAGGCATAATTCATCAGGCACAACTATAAGAACCGCTAAGGAGAAGGAAATGTGATTAGAATAAAACTCTGAGAGGGGATGCAAAAAAAAATATGTGAATGTTCATGGAAAGCAAAGATTAGTAAGTAGTAAGTAACTACAATTTCTGTGAAAATGTGACACACAAAATAAAGCAACAGCTCATTTCCCCCAAAAACAACAAATCAAACAAATGTGTATGCTTCATGTTGCACTGTAACCCTGTAATACACACATTCACACACTCAAAGACACACATGCAGTGATAAGTCCTCGCCAAAGGATTTAGAAGTTTAAGCCTCCTTTAAAATAAATTCACACTTGGAACACATTTGAGTCCACTGGCGGACTGCACTGAACCAATGTGTCAAATCTAAATGAGAGAAAAGAGAAGAGAAACTGTGAGTGAGAGCAACAGAATCAGAAACAGCTTTATTGCCAAGTAGGTTTGCACATATACAAGGAATTTGTCTTGGTGATTTGCTGCATGACAATAAACACAGTTGGCCATAAATGATGCTAAGAGACATAATAGTAAAATGCACAGCAGTACATTGCTTTGCTGAAACTCCTGTCTGCTTCTCCAAACCGGAGGCGTGCCGACCACCGTCTACTGCTGGTATTATACTGACTCATAAGTAGCTCATACAACCCACTTCAAAACACCCAAACTATCTCTCTAATGTAACATTGAGTATCATAGTCCCTTCACAGTGACCTTCAAGATGAGCTGCACTTTTCTCTGCTGACCATTTATGTTGTGTATATGTCCTGTAATGATAAAAAGAACTGAGTTTGATTAAAACTGACAATGTCAGAGAGATGATACTGTATGTTGGAAAGCTGTCACATGTTGTGAATCATGACCTTAACACTATACAAACATACAGTATAACAGAGAGAGGGCCATAGACCCCTTTTACAGCCGACGACATCATTATGAATGTGCATGTTGGCAGCGGAAGTGGCCTTTCGCCCCAGCCCTCAGTTTGCGAGCTTTGAATATTGAATTAAAACTTTTACCGGCGTCAAAATGTCCGGTTGTTGCATGTTCGCTTGTCAGAATCGATATGCCAACAGCGGCCTCGAGTTCTACAGAATTCCGGCCCACAAACGTTTCAGAGCAACAGGTGTTTCAGTTTAACTAGTGACCGTGTCAACTTGTGACTTGTGTCTGTCTTTGCTCGTGGTTACTTGTGTAAATGGTTGCCGTAGATAATAAACACAGATGGGTATGTATTCTAAATAGATTGAAGGCTTTTAAGAGGACATCTACATGTTCTGTTCATGTTTTGAACAGCTGCAGTCAGCACAAGCAACCACGGACGCATTCGGATGAGAGTCACCGAACACGCTTGGTCAGTGCCCCTCGACGTCGCATACCAACGTACCAATGGGGTCACGATTCTCCAAGTTCTTGATTCGATTTGTCTTTCGAGTAAAAAAATGTTTTTCAGCACTGACAGCAATGCTATCGTTAGACAAAGAAGTCTTGATACCATATGTTTAAGCACGCAATTAGATTATTATTGGAATTTAGAGTTGTTTCAGAGCTTTGTTTACAAATAATCGAATTTGAATATATTCTTTGGAAATATGAACAGCTTTTAAGAATATCTGCCTGTTTGTTTTTTTCAAGCGACATTGCTTTTTGTTTTAAAGACTTCATTAATCCTTTTCCTGATATGAGTGAAACAGTGGAGCATTGTTTTTCTATAGCCATCTGGCTTCAGGTTTCAGTTCCACAATATTTAAAACCACATTATTATGGTACTTATTGTCCATCATTTGGAAAATTCGGGTAGTGTTGCCTGAGGCCGAAAGAAAACGGAAATGGCAGAAAATGAAATGTGAAGAAACACATGCACGTACACACGCATACAGACTATACCGGCATCAAACTGTGTCTTCAAAATTCGACTTGACCATAACCCTCAAAGATACAATAAAGCACACTTACTGGCTAATATCAGTCCGTTAGATGTTTACAGTGCGGACAGAAGACGTATCACATTTTATTTACCATCATAACGGTTATTGTGGAATGAGAATTTAAGGGACTGCAGAGAGAGTTATGGGAAGGTGAGAGGAAGAGGGAAGCTGTTTAAAATTCCAAACAGGTAGCAACGAGGCTTCAGGAGGGTAGTGGAACAGCATGCATGCACACACACACACACACACACACACACACACACACAGACATACACACAGATGTGAGACATGGGGAGAGAGAAAAGAGGCAACCCATATGCAGAAAATACTGTTGCAATTTGGACTCTGAAGCTAAGTTGAGGAAGGTTAAGAGGTGACCTCGACTATGTACACGTCGGCTCATTTGCACTCGCATGGAGTTATACTCTATATATATATATATATATATATATATAAAATGTATTAAACTAGGGAAAATCAAGGGGAAATTGCACAGAATAATTCAAGAAAAAAGAGACAAATAAAGGAAGATAAGGTGGAGCTGTGGGAAGCCATTAGTTTGTCATACTTTTATAAAATCCAGCATATGCTCCTGTCCCATTTAACCATCATCCTCTGCCTCCATTTCTAGTAGTGAATTCTATCTCACCATCATCCAATGCAAAATCAATACAACATGATTGAGCAGATAAGGCAAAACAAACGGGGGCAGTCGTAGAATCACTGACTGGAAAGCCTCAAGGGACGACAAAGTTGCTGTTTGGAAAAACAAAACCCTCAAAGGGGGGTGGGGGGGTGTGAATGTGAGGGGAAGATGCAGCCTGGCATTGTGTGTTTACCGTCTGTGTGGAAGAGTGCACAGACTGAGTGTTACCGAGAGAGCTCAGGCAACTGAGGAACAGATGAGACTGTATAAACACACGTGACCCTGCTAGAACTGTCAGCTGTCCCAGTTACCGGCCTGGGCCATGTGTGTGTGCATGCACATGCGTGTAGGTGGGTAAAGACTGATGTTCCAGATGCACAGCTTGTTGGCCACATGCAAACATACACACACACACACACACACACACACACAGGAAACCTTCCACACTGTCTAGAGGACGAGCATAAATCATATTCCCCACTACATTTCTGTTGATTTCTGTGTTGCTCAATGTGAGCGCCTGAGGCCAAAAGCGACACGTGCTGACTCCAAAACTCAGGTCCTCACAAACTCACACAGCAACATACCACACAGTTTTGGTTTGCTCTTGCAAACAGCCAGTAAAGAATACGATAGTACAAAGGAACGTAAAGGTGCAATACACGCGATTCAGAGCATATGTAGCAAGCAACTATTTGCTATGTAGATATATAGAGAAGTGATGTCTACCTGAGCACAGAACAAAGTCGCTCTCCCTTCGTGTGTTGTAATCCGAGCTTCTCCTTGGTTTGTTGATTTAGGGCATGCTAGTGCATGTTAGTGCACGTGAGCATCCCCCACTGGTTAGCCCACAGCCGCAGCTCTACTCTCATACACAGTAACAGCTGATGACGCCGTCCCAACCGACGAGGTCATCATGGAAGCATAGCGCCCGCTCTCCGGTTCCCCCACAGGTGAACGCTGTTAGCTCTGTCAGCCCTTCTGCCGTACTTTGCACTGTTAGAACTGTTAGCACTGTTAGCTGCGAGCCGCGGGCTCAGCCGTAAACCCGTTGAGAGCCGACGCCATGTTGAGAGCCGTAGAGAGGCAATAGAAATGCTCCGTATACTGTGACTGTCTATATGTAGATCATGTTATTAAATGCAAAGCTACTGAGTGAGCACCAAAGCAAATTCAAGCTGTAATCAATCCAGGTTTGAGAGCACACAGGGACAGACTTGGAAACGTCAGCCAAGTCTTAATAAGCTTCAACACCCTGATTTTCAACATGCGCTCTCATAATTTTCTCTGGCAGTTTTGGCAGAGCCTAAGATTTTATTTTTTAAATGGTGGTGTAATGGTCTAATGATTGGATTTGACTTTGCTCTCAGTTTGAGATGGCTTGCAAAGGATGCCAACTTCCAAAAAAGTGTGCAACAGGATACCGAGCAAACGAAGCCCTGCCTCTTTAATTCTTGCCACATTTCTCTTGCAGACAACACTCAATTATGTCCCTGCTTATTCTCAGAACTTGCTCTGTGCTTATAAAGCTGGCGCTGTGCTCACTCAAATCTTGACTTGAAGACTGATTTCCATTTAAATTTGTTTCATGCCCTTTCAATTGTTTTGCCATTAATGAACTTCCACATACAAGCATTAATATTTAGTCTCATTTGATTGTTTTTTTCCCTCCTCCTATTGTTTGGCTATTTTCGCCTCGACCTCAATTTTGCATCAAGAAGTATTTTTGCTTTTTGCCAAGCTATTACTAAATAAGAATTTATTCTAAGCTGCCTTGCCTGATTAAAACACATAAACATACACACGATAAATGATAGAAAGCTGGATATCTAATAAGGTAGGGGGAAGCCATTTAATGAGGGGTGATGCTGGATGAAAATATACCCTCTAACATCTCCTTTTTCTGCCTTTTCCTATTTTTCTTCTTCCTCCCACCCAGTCATTTAGTCTCTCTCATTCATCTCACTGTTGTCTATAGCCTCTTTCACCTATCCCCTCTCATTTAAACGATTGCTCTAATTTGCATTTGCTGGCTCTGATGGACACTGATCGGGCGCTGCTCTCCTTTTCACAACACGCGCACACTCTTCCCTCCATTATTCGGCTTCGCTCCACTGTAAATCACAGCCCTCTGCTCGACATGGCTCTCCGTCCGTCTGTCTGTCTCTCTTCCTCTCACTTTAACCATTTTGCTTTCACTCCCTCCTTCTGCTTCTCATTCCTCCGATCCCTCCAGATGTTCCCCCCCCCCCCTGCTGCACTCTGTCCTTCATTGGTCTACACCTGCTCCGTTTGCTCACCTCGCACACTCCCCTATCGTCTGCTCGCTCACAAATAGCCGCGAGGTCACGAGCGTCTTAGATCTCCATCCAGCTTCATGAGTCACTGCGAGTAAACCTGGCTGGGAGAGCAGCTGCTGCCCAATTTGCTCATTTGAGACAATCAATGGAAATAAAACGGAGAGACGGCAATACATCCAAGAGATTACACCGACACACGCATTTACACACACACACACACACAGACACAGTCCTGCTAATTGTTAGCTATTAGTCTGCAAGTCTGGGATTGCATGTCTTATTAAATACAGAATTTCAAATGAGCTTCGTTAAATAAGAAAGTACTCCCCTTTTAATGAAGCTAATTTATATGGAAATTACACATAATACTGGCGATTCAGCGAGAGATTTATCCTCGTTGGATGAAGGGGAGGAATTACAGAAAAAAAGAGTGGGATAGTGATTTTTTTCTTCCCCCCCTCCTCCTCCTCCTCAGCTGGTCACTGCTGTTGGACTCTTTCTGCAAGTTTGCTTTTAAAGCACACCCTCAGTGGGTTCAGGTCATGTATGTTCGGGTTGGGGATACAGCCATCTAGTGTGCGTGTGTGTGTGTGTGTGCGTGATGGAGAGTCTGTGTGTGAACTCCTGTCCTTGTGCTGACCCTGCAGCGCTCCAGCCCTCCTCTCTGGTTCCCACTGATCCATCATGCTGTCTGATTGCCCAGAGAAAACCCATTACTCTGAAACAACACAACACATTAGCAGTGAGCTGCAGGTGTCTCTCCTCTGTGTTGAGCTCATACCTCACCATCCATGGATGCAGATGTCATGTTTACGGCTACCGGTCAAATTGCACAACAGTGGAGTCGAGCCTGAGGTCTGAAAAACACTCCCATATTTGAATAAACACACAGTGCAACCGGTCAGTTGCTTCATTGACTTCATGCTAAAGTCTGTTAAAGAGTGTTGGGCTGCATACTGTCTGATAAGACAATGCTTCTGTCTTTCTCACTCTGACTAGTGATTTATTAATGCAGGTCTGCATGCAGCTATGCCCCTGCAGACTGCTTCTGTCCCTCAGGCAAAAAGCTCAGCGTTGCCCCCTGGTGGTAATTAGCCAAGAAGTAAGATTTGGACAATATTTGCTCATGTCCCCTGACACTAGCCCCAATAGATAGAATAAATGAAAAATGTTTAAAATCTAGCAGGTCTCTCTATCTTTAAGTGAAAAATGTGGAAAGGTGTAATGAGCCTCAAAAAAAGAAGAACTGGTGCGCATCCCCTGCTCTGTCAATGACATTTTAACGGCTGGTTCACTTCAGGAGTCGATCATTATCTACAGCTCTCACAATTTACTGTGCACTTTGACTCTGCAATGTTTTCACATTCATTTGTTTTTACATGGAGTTTCCATGGAGACAGTTCTTAACCTGTGGGCAGTATGTTTAAAAAGACAGCACGCACACACACACACACACACACACACACACACACACACACACACACACACACACACACACACACACGCGTTCAAGTTTGTGTACTGAATAAAAGCTTTATTCCAACATGAAGTTAAAAAAAAATAGTGACGAAGAAAAATGATCAGAACCCACGAGAATTTGCATAAATATATACCATCAGAGCAGTTTAGAGACAACATATTTAAAAAGGAAATATATCGCAACATCTATAAACAAGCAGCAAAATAAAAGCAAATCAAGGACGCTGCAGAGTGAAGACAATAGTCTTTGTGGTTCTTTCTCTTTGAAGTGATCTCATGGTCAAAAGCATTACAGATTGTTGCCACCTAGAGGTTGCTCATACAGTTCAATCATTGCAGTCTTTTTTTTTTTAGTTTTCAACAATTACAAAATGCACACATTTATCCAGCAACTCTTAATTTGTGATTCATTGAGAATCAACGCAGAAACAGCCCAAGTGAGCAGTGTTATGGTGCTCTGACATAATGCATATTATGCAACAAATAAAAGTGCATTCCTGTGGGATTATACAGGCTATTGTGTCTCGAAGCGAGGGCGCCATGAACTGCAGGGCGGCTCACGTTTCAGAGCCTAAAAACGTCTGCTGGCTATTGTACAGTGTGACATCTAACGAGCGAGAAAAAGACATTTCGTTCTATATCCACAAAATCACCTGCAGGACTGGAACAAATAAAAAAACACTTTACTGACCATTTGCTCCTCTGATTATATATTCAAACGGATGCGTGGATGACTGGCGTCGGTGTGACGGAGAACCTCACGATCAGAAAACGGGTAGCTGTGAACGCTGCAGAGTACACCTGCAGCTTAGTGTTGTACAGTTGAGTTGACTTTGCTCCAATAAGGCCATGAAGTTAAATAAACCATTAGGCTTAAGAAATGTTTACACTCATAACCACAATGTATATCCACGCTAACGGTTCAGCAAGCGTCATTCTTACATAAAAAAAACACATCAATATGGATGCAAAACAAATATTCACACGTGTGTACTGAACAACAGGTTCCGCTCTATAAAAATAGCTTAAAAATCTGACACATATTTTAGTACAGTGTAGGGTTGAATCAGTTTTCTTTCTTCTTACTCTTTTACATCTGAGACAGTTTAATAACAGGCTGGGACATACGTCCTCTGCTCCTCCTTCCCTCCTATGACACTGCCATACACAGACAGTCGGGCTTTAACGACCACCAAAGTCCCAAGAAGGAGCGCTAAAGGGAGCAAAAGCAATGAATGGCACCTTCGTCTCATCCCTGCTCTGGACTGAGACCCCAGCTGTCTGCAGACAGGTAGTCTTTTCTGCACAGAGCTTCACGTGCACAGTGGATTAGTAGTGGAGCAGGTCTCCAGGTCCAGGAGAGGCGAGAGCGTGGCCAACAGTACGACACGTGTGCTCCAGATAGCAATGTCAGGATCATTGAAAAGGTGAAGCGGGAAGGACAGAACAGAGAATCACAGAATCTCTCTCACACAGGAGGGGGCAGAGACACTGAACACATCAGCAGTTAGTAACTGATAACCTGTAACACATACACCAATCCACCACCCGAGTGTATCGCACACAGAAGCGTGTCGAAGTGAACTAAAAGGACGCGATTGTGAAATACAACAAACAGGGCAGGAGTCAGTGAACAGATTGTAACATTTCATGCTCTGCACACAGGCGATAATTATTTTACGAGACAAGCAATAAACATCGTTGTCATCACCATCATCATCATCATTCACGCCCAGTTAAGTCACATACACAGTAGGCAGACAACACTGCACACACACACACACAAGAGTAAGTGCACAGGCATACAAACACATCCCTCACACACCTCCCATTGCACCATGGGATGTAACTTATAGTTTAAGTGGTGGATAGCTTGTCTCCTGATACCCGAGAGTAAAAAAAAAAAAAAAAAAAGCAAACAGAGAAGGCGAACAGAACGCAACACAAGCAGAACGAGTGACACACGGACACTATAAGGACACTTGAAGAAAGATTGTATTGTTTGGATTAACTAAACGCAGTTGCTATGTACCGCTGTGTTTGTTGGTTATAGCTCGTCAAAGCATAGAAAATAATAACTTTCTGTCGTATATATGGCAAAAATAAATAACTCAAACCGCTCGCCGCAGTTGTAAAAAGGCCACTGAATGCGTGTGTTTGTGTGTGTGAGAGAGATGCAAACTCAACAGCACAGCTAGCCACTAGCCATAAAGTCTTTCACCTTGACCCATCATGTATTTACATTACCATATAAAAGACTGAAACACAGCCTCAAACACAGTTTCTTGCTCATGTTTCCAATCATGCCATTAGAAGGATTTCCCTGTATGCATACATACATACATACAGTACAGCATCACAGGTTACAGTGCAGCTTCCTCCTGGTGAGTCCAGCCACTGTTCACAGGGTGAGTTCTAAACTACCAGGCTTGTGATAAAAGCAAACATAAAATAATTAAAAAGCGCCTCAATCCTGTAACGTGTTGGATTTCAAAGGCAGATCATCTAGGAGTGGAGTACATGCTGCAGTTTTCTGGCTGCAGCTACGCCAAATACCTAAACAGCAGGGCTGTTCCTCGAGAGCAGTTCATTTAGGATCTTTTCCTGACAACAGCAGAACGGCGAAGTGCTGTCTTGCAGAGCAAGATAGGCTTTATATTTTGGGACTTGAGCCAGCGGCCTTGAGTTTTACCGACTAAGGCCCAAACTTAAAATGACACCCTGTACAGTTAATCTGTACAGTGACACTTTATATTACATCGCCCCTGAAGTCAAAATTCGCTTTGCAAGTTACGGTGACGTTAACTGATTCAATGTCAAATTAGTGAAGTTTAAAAGTACCCGGCGAGTGATCGTAGTTTTACACGAAAGGATACTTTGAAAGTCTCTCTTGTTAAAGCATCAAACCCAGCACTGTCCCGCCAACGTCCCATCTACAAAGAACCCCAACGAGTAATAAACACTTCCAGCAGACAAAAAGGAGTTTCAACCTCAAAAAGGGACAGTTGTAAGGTTTCTTAGTGCGCTTAAACATTTGTTTTGGAGAGCAAGTAGACAACATTTGAAGTTGTGTAAAGACATAATTGTCAGAACTCCCTCACTCAGTTTTCTCTCCCCCCCTCAACTCTCCCGTCTCTATGAAGCTTTGGCTTTTCTTGCCCGTGGTGATGTTTTATCCTCGGACTTCACAACCCCGTTGGCAGCACCTCCTGACAACACAAGCGATTAGAAACATTCCAGATGAGAGCAATTTCAGATGCAAATGTTCAACAATGAGAAAAATGATTTTTAGAAAGAAAAAAAGAACTGAAACACAGGATCACATTCTGTCTATTTGATTGAGGTTCTTGAACACTCACCCCTTGTAGGCTCCCTTTTGTGGGGCTTGCTCTTTGGGCTGACCGCCTTCTTCTTCGAGGCCTGGTTCTGGCTGTGCTCCCTCCACTTTTTCAACTGGAAGTTAATGAATTTCCACATCATCCAAGCCTGTGTCAGGCAGATAGCGGCCAGACAAGTCATCCTGAGGGGGGGGGGGAGACACGCTTTAAGAACCGCAAAAGTTAAAGCACAGGAAAACAAAACTTTGTCCACTTGGCTGTTTTTAAGTTAAATGTTTGCTGTAAATCAGCGAGGTACGAGACTTTAAGGGCTCTTCCTGTTCATTGGACATCTGGACTTGCCTTATGGTGAGCACATTGAAGTTGCCTTCAGCGAGGGAAAAGCCCTGGTTTTCTGTACGGGGCAGCCCGAAGCCAAACGTCAGAACGGAGAGGGTGAGGGTGAGGAGGCGGGCGATGACAAAAAGGAGTGCCCACAGAGTAAAACTGTAAGGAAGAGAAAAAACAAAGGGTTGAACTCGAAGAGTCGAGTATTCGATCTAAGGAGCCAGATTCAACTGCAAGTCTCACAGTGGAAAGTACGGATCATTCTACACACACACACACACACACACACACACAGACACACACACTGTCCACTATTCTGAAACAACAGCTAAGCGAGAGTAATAATGCAAATAGTAATGTTTTTTCTATAGATACATAAAGCTTAAACAGAGGTGGATCAATGTGCAAGAAACAAAAACCATGATTCTACGATCAGTCGACTACAGGGCAAGACGTGTCCAATCAGATTCAACTGTGTAAATTCTTGGTCGGGGACAGGTGGTCAGGTTGTTCAGATCAGGAATGGACAAAATACTAAACGCTAACTGGAAGAAAACACAAAAGGACAACTTGTTTGTTGGAGGACTGTAAGCAGTACCCTTTCTGCTTGTTCTCATCACTGAAGTAGAAGAGGCGTGAAGCGTGGAACAGGAGCTCCACCAGGTAGTGAGGGACCAGCAACACCAGGCCCAGTCGGTGGAGGCTGAGCAGAGAGAGAGAGAGAGAGAGAGAGAGAGAGACAGAGAGAGAGAGACAAACAGCCAGAGGGAGAGACAGAGAGAGAGACAGAGAGAGAGCCTGAGGACAACTGTGAACATGAGGACGGAGAGGAGACAACACTAAACTCTATCGGCTGCTCTTCTTATAGAACATAGGATGAAACACTTTCATATCAGCTCCCCGCATTACATTTATTTCAGATCAATAGTCTTACAGGAAAGGAGATCAGCAAAAGGAAGCGACTCCATTTCAGATGAGAGAAGTTCAATGTTAAAATAAAAACACTGGTCTGGCTCACAGGTCAGAATACAGTACGACACTTAACGGTTCTTTAGTTCTCCAAGGAGAGGAAAAGTCCGCTGGCCTGGCTTTGAGTTTTAAGAAGATCTTCGTGTGGTTGAGTGAGGACAATGAAGGAAAGTCAAATACTGAGCAACTACTCCATCACGAAGAAAAATCACTCCATAAACGTATCGATAATGTGTCGTATCAGGTACGACGTATGAGTTATTAAATCACATAATGATGGACTACTTTTCTTTACACACCAACACTGCTTCACCCATTTCATCTGGCGCTTGGTTGTAAACATTCTCCGGATAAATTAGATGTTTACGAGAGATTCACCCAGAATATGCGTCTTTATTTCATCCTCGGAGAAAAATGAATGATATTCACTTACTTTAAGACGTAGGCGCCAGTGATGTGGACAACGTAAAGGCAAATGTAATAGAGCTGACGGGGGATGTCCTCCTGTGGAAATGAAACAAAGGAAGAGAGTCTGTGTTAGCAACAGCGGCAGCATCAGGAACTACTAACAGTAGTTTGCTGTAAAAAATATCTGGATGAGAAATGATTTCTTTATGTCGTCTCTTGTGTCCTGTACATTTTATTTACTGTGTAGTGAAACAATGACTTTCTTTAAAGCTTGTAACCCTTAAAACACAGCCATGATACATTTTCTATGCAAATTAACTGGAACTAAATATATATAAATACACACATATCAATACATTTCAACAAAACACATCCATTATCCAACAAACCTCAAATCAAAGTGCTTTTTCGTGTGTCTCTTGCTTGTGTGTAAGCACTGCAACAGAGGCCTGATTGTTTTAAGGCAGCGTCTCACAAACTTTTTGTCTGAGGAGCCACTTTTTATAAAGTGACAAACCATCACGACTCAATTTCACAAAAACACAAAGTCATCTATAAAATGGGGAGAAGAGCACATTTTACATTTTGCATCTTACGTGACCCTTACCTTCCGTACTTTTTGAAAGTACAGCTCAGGAAGTGCATGGAGCCAATAGGCAATTTGACAAACGTAGAAGAACTTGACCTGAAAACTAGACAGAGGACAGATTGTGCAGCGGTGAACGAGAGAGAGAGAGAGAGAGAGCCTGGCTGTTATTTCGGCTTGTACAGAAGTTCCATCATATTAATACACAATAGATAATGTTGTGCTACCTCTATTTAAAATACAGCGACGTGAGCAACAAGTCAAAAGCAGTAAGAAACCAGCGCAGGAGGCTGCGGTCCATCAGGACCAAGACCTCACGCCGCGAATACAGTTTGACTCAGACACTTAAAGCTCAGGACAATTTCTTAGTGTGACGCACCCTTGCACATCTTTTCTTTATTAATATACACTTGACACTTTAATAATAAACTTGTTTTAACGTGAAAACAAGTGGAAAAAATAGTGCTTTATATATTTTAAAAGGGCTGAAACTATTAAAGCTCAACATACTTTAAAATTGGAATGATGTGTTTAAGATGTGCAGGAGTCTCTACTTACACCATGTGAGTGTGTGGGTAACCCTCCCATAGGAAAGTAGGATTTGTTGCAAAGTCCTCCTGTCAGAGAAAAAGAGACATTAGACGGAGCCTAATGCATGCTGGGACAGTGTGTCTCCGTGACCCCCGACCCCTCGTACCGCCGTTAGGATGCTGCAGCCCCAGATGAAGGAGAACAGGTAGAACGCCGCCAGCTGTCCAGACTCGTTGAACTTGCTGTGTTTGGTTTTGGACAGGTGCAACCTTCTGTTCATTTTCTGAAATTAGAGGGGACATTAAGTTCTTTCTTACATTTTGAAAAGTATGAGTCACTTTATTTTTGTTACTCATATCTCCTTTTTTATTATTAGCACATGGATTTACTCGATTTGTGGAGAAAAGCAGGTGAAGCATAAAACACTGCCTGTTACCGAGTTATATCTGTCACAAATCTAAAAAAAAATATTTTGTGCCCTGTCTCTTGAACCGTAAGCAGATTTAGGAACAGATCTCTTAAAGGACCAGTGCGTAGGATTTAGGAGCAAAGAGCATTGAGGTTACAGATGGAAACCAACTGAACGACCCCTCCTCTCATCCCTCCCTTTACAAGTGTGGCGGAGAACTACGGTGGCCCTCAGGGAGCGTAAAAACACAAAAGGCCCTCGCTCTTGGCTTGTTCCTAAACATGGTGGTGCAACATGGTGGAGTCCGTGAAGAGGACCCGCTCAATCTGTAGACGAAAACACAATGAGACTATACACTAATGAAAACAAACTAAAGTGGCCTGTATAAATCCCCCTAAATCACACACACTGGTCCTTTAATTGACAGTAGAAACCGGAGGAATATTACTGCAAGTAAAACCTGTTTCAATACTCACGCTATTGTTTTAAGACTGACACGAATAAGTGGGATTGTATCCTTTAAAAGAAATAAATCTTAAAAAAAGAATCCTTGTTGAATTTGGTCCATAAAGGTTTTTTTAATTTTTGGAATAAAAATATATAAAAATAATTCTCCTCTATTAATAATATTCCACCGAGAGCTGACATCAAACACAAAAGATGTCAGAAGAAACATGAACATCTTCTTCAGTTATATTTTAGTGCCCATGCAGTAGGTGGAACCTGATTATCTACAAACAGATATCAAAAAACACAGCGAAGGACCAGAACATAGAAAAGGCATCAGGTGGTATTTGATGCTTTTTAAATGAAATACTAGACGGACACATCTGACAGTGTGCAAGCTGAGAAGATGGAGGCGGAGAGAGTCTTCAACACAGTTCCTGTTTCCCTCACGTCGTGTTTAAACACAACACTAAAAGAAGATCGAAATGACATGCCGCTGTGTGCAAACAGCAAACCGTGTGAGCCGATATGAGGAGTTTGGATGCCGATGCACTCACGTCGAGAATATATTCTTGTATCAAGGCGTGAAGGATGACCGCGATAAGAAGGTAGAAAAACACAGTGGCCACATCTTTGGGACCATACTGGTAAAGGTTCACCGGATCACTTTTCTCCCCTGCAACAAAAAGAGAAACAACAAAGTCAAGTGCCCAGCATTTCTTTGGAAAACCAGACGCAGGGGAAGAAATGCAGTTAAGTTGAGTCATCTTAAGAAATCTGATATTATAATTGAACCCATAAACCTCCACTCACCGAGAACTTGTGTCACGTTGTACTGGACTGTGATGAACATGATAGCAAACTTGGCTGTGACCTGGAACACAGAGAAAGACACAGGATCAATGGGCTGATTCTGGGTGCATTTTGTAATAAAGCACTGTAATAAAGCACTGTAATAAACGTGTATAATCCTCTTGGATTTGTCCCATGATAGGGAAACCTACTCTCGGGTCCTTTTTTGACATACTCATCATTTCATGCACACACTGCATGTAATAAGTAAAGGCTGCTTGCTGGGTTTTTTGGGTGGGGACAGGTCGGTATATTGTTTCATTCAAAGTCAGCTGATCTGTGCAGCCAAATGGCTGCTGGTCAAATGTGTAGCATCACTAAAGGCCACATGCATGTATTAATCTCCTAAGGAGGCAATGCATTAGCCGACTGGTAAAAAGGACCTGTTCGCTGTGCCAGTGGGGGGCCTCCTCGCCATCTTCTTTGGCGATCAGTGAGACACATGAGATGGGAGAGAGACACGCTCGCGCCCTGCCCCTGGAGTGCTGGCTGTCATGTCAGCTAACGATAGCTAGCAGCAGCTAACATCACTCGAGCTAAACAACAAGCCCCCCCCCCCCCAAAAAAAAACAATCCCACAGTACCTCGAACATCAGTCCGAGGAGGATAATCATGGCCAAACACGACACCATGTCGGCGTGGTTCTGGATCACAAACTCGTGGCTGAGCACCGGAGGACTCTTGTTCTTCTTGCGGAACCCCATGGCTCACACCGACGCGGCTCTCGACTTCTCTGGTTCCGGGGCTGCCCTCCCCACCACCCCCGTCACTGAGTCTTGGAGCTAGCTAGCTGCACGAGCCTGCACGTCTCAACGGTTGGCTGTTTGCCAGATCGCGCACAGTGACCCAGTTTGCTCGAGTGTTTCAAACGCGGTCATGAAGATGCGTCGCATCAGAACCAAACACTTACATCACAACACCCACTTTTCTGTTCTCCCCCCGCCCCCCCACCACTGCCTGGTAAAGTCAGATGACAGGCCCCTCCCACTTCAAAAACTCCAGTCATGAACTGCCCAGTGACGTAGAAGGAGAGCCCGGGCTCGTGGTGCATTCAGGGACTCCACGTAAGCGTCCGCGTTTCCTAAATTAATAACAAAAGAGTTAGATGTCGATATAACAGTTTTAGTGATGCATACAACACGATATCATCTGAAATTATAGGTCTGTTTGGAAATCGTATTATATGTCAATACTACAATTATTCTGTCTGTATAGATAATATTTTAGTTATTGTGGATTTTTTACTGTTTTACTTATTTAATATTCTTGACTGTTTTATTACTTATTTACTTATTTATAATACTTTTACTATGTCTCTTGTTACACTATCCACTTTGCTGCTGTAATCCTGTACATTTCCCTGCTGCGGGACTAATAAAGGATTATCTTATCTTATCTTATTGTACATCAGATTCTACATGTGTGATACATGTGTAATGTGATTATTTGAAAATGTATTTGAGAATTCCCGCCATTAAATTGGATGAAACAATACCTCAAAAAAGGTTCACCTCTTGTGCATTTTTTGTGTGTGTATGTGTTCCAATGATTTTCTCAATTACATTTAATGAAAACTGCTTGCAAAATACAAAAGCCCTGCAATTAATATAGCTGTTGTGACTCTGAAGACTATCACAAAACTGTGTCCTGTGCAGTATCCTTGGTAAATTTTAAGTGTTGTCTTTTAAATGGTATTGTATACAATATCTACTACAACTGAGCTGTAATTATAGATTCAATTATGTTTAGCTGGTGTATTACCATTTGTTGCTACTTTACACTCCACTATATTATTGATTGCTGTATAACATTATTGATTGCTGTATAATGAACTACCCAAAGGTATACAAATTTATTCCACCTGTAGCTGCCACAAAACTGCTACTGCTAACACATTAATAGGATTAACAATCCAATAATATAACGTATTATAAGAATGAAAGGGTTCAATGTGCATAATAAGTACTTTTACTTTGATATATTAAACAAACTGCTGATAATAATTTTGCACTTGGGTAAGATTTTGTGTGCAGCACAGGAGGAGCTGGGGATCGAACCACCAACTCATATTTAGGCTAAAGGTCCGGCTTCCACTGCTCGTGGGGTATTTTGGGTAATTGTTTTTCACCTGCATGTCACTTAACCTTTTAGTAAAAAAGAAAGAAAAGGATGACCAGAAGCTACGATGTTGTGTCGTCGACAGTGCGCCCGTTTAAAAGGAAAACCAAGCCAAATACCAGGTAATAAATAAGATGGTTGCAGCTTTAACACGTCTCCTCTAACTTGACAGTGATTTACGGACAATTTACGGAGAAAGGTCAGGTAATAATAACATGGCGTTCAAGCTACACGACCCCATCATTGTTGTGAGGCTGAAGCACTCACCTAGCTGGGGGGATTAATTAACCGTTAATTTAAATTGTCTTTGAAGTTGTAGGAGTTTAACATGAGTGTTTAACCGATGTTGTAGCTAACGTTGTATTAGTTGACGTTCCTCGATAATTCGCAGCCTAGTTTTTAGGGCGACACACATTCGCTGGACTCCTGTTTAATAAAACACTTCCTGTTGTTTGCCGCTAGAGGTCAGTATGAGACAGAATCGGGATAGCAAGACCTAACCCTCCTTCTTTCACACCACTACAACGTGACCCAACTTTTCTTTTTTTATGATTAAATATGATGACGATGTCGCATGTTAGCATCGCCCGGCTAGCTCAGTCGGTAGAGCATGAGACTCTTAATCTCAGGGTCGTGGGTTCGAGCCCCACGTTGGGCGGATAGCTTTTTCCCTCTGCTCACTCTATAACGTTATCGCGACGAGATTGGATTGCTGATTCTTGTGACCATATTTTCAGTTTTATTTGAATCCATTATATTGAAGGGGGTTTCCATTATCTTGAAACTTCGTTTTAAATCTGGAAAAGTGGAAACTCCTGTCAGTCTTTCAGCTGGTGAACACAAAAGACTGCATGCAAAGTTGAATATAATCGAACACTGTAATTGTTAGTAAAGTGTTATAATGTCTACTAACCACATCTACATTTATAGAAGAGTACACACCTTCCATCAGTATCAATTACAGCCATACAAATTACCAAAGAGTAGAGTCAACAACTAATTCAGTCAAAATAAGACCATTATAAGAAAAACATCAAAGATTGTAATAATGGCTGGGTTATTATACAGGATTTTGATACATTGTGTTTTTCTGTTATTCGGATCAATGTATGTATCAGTGTATTTCTCTGCTACTGAATGTCAAAAGGACAACCAAAACTGGTACTCTATCCAGTTGTGTTTAATTATTTATGATCACTGCTGCAGCACAGACGTTGAACAGGAAACCCCTTAATCAAGTTCTATACAAAGCTCCTCCAGTGTTCAAATGTAAGTATTCCTTCTCATGGAGGAGGAGATGAATAGATACATATTCATTCTAATTGTTTTTATTGTATTCACTACATTTAGCTTAACATGGGCTTGATTTATTTGTGTGTACGGTTCACTGGTCCATTATATATTAAGGTTGTGAACAACAGTAATGTGTGACATAAAAAGGCAGAGCTTTCTTAAAACTCAAGGTTCTTTTTCTCTTTTTTTTACTGCAAACCGAACTGCCAAAATAGGTGAGGAGCTACAGCCTCTTCTTTCTCTGGAAACAGCCAAGCGGGAGGGAGGAGTTTAAACAAAGGCCCTCTCCACAGAAAAAAAAAATGGAGGCTTGTGCAGAGAAGCCATGGTGTCCTGCTCCTCACAGTCTACATGCTGCCATTTCTACTTCTAAAGCCTTCAAATGAGACAACTACGGCCAGGTTCTACACGTGGAAGCTTCAAACACTGTCACACTGGGTTGGTATGTCAAAAATACTCTCATTAATCATGTTGTTTTGTGATTTTAGGCCTAGCTCTCTGCTTATTTTTTCTTTCCCTGTCTCTGACACTCACCGTGCTGTCCCTGCCTGCACTGAACAAAGATAATTACTCAGGAAACATTTCGGCCAATCAGACGCGGCCTTGTATCCTGCCTGTGAGGAGAGCGACCAGTCAGGATCCGGCTAACATCACTGGGGCCCGATCGCCTTGCCTGAAGAGCGGAGCCTTCCCCGGCTGAGGGCTGAGAGTGTCCTCCATGTTTTATAAGTGTTGACATAACATTGTGTCAGGCAGCCATGCATCCACAGAGGTAAGCTCTGTCTTTTTTGTTTTTGTTATCTCAACTCTCTGATAACAACATGGCTTCCTTCTTGTCGTTGTGGTGACTGTTGCTTTCTCACGATGAATGTGCACACCTTAAAAATCTGTTTAGTGTGCAGCAGCAGCAGGAGGAGGAGGAGGAGGAGCTGGGGTGGATTGGAGGCCTCGCCAGGCCTCACCGCTCCACAGTGCTGAGGAGGAGGGTGGGGGGCTGGGTAACGACTCTCACCCTTGCTCTCGCTCTGTGTCTCAGGGTCACATGGGTGCCCCAGACAACCAGGCTACCATACAGGAGGCAGAGTGGACCATGGCAAATCCTTTTCCTTTTTATTTTGATAATGCAAAGGATTTAAAAATGGCACCCACACCTCCTTTCTGTTGTGTGGCAGTCCTGTGTTGTAGCCTGGCAGAGAAAGAATGGGGGGATGGGCAACGTAGGAGGAGGAGGGCGGGTATTATGTACCCTTTAGTACGTGGATTGGCTCTGTGCTGTTTTCTTGTGTGTCATGCCAGGCCGGGGAATAGACGTGGGGGGCAGCAGGCGGTTGTGTGCGAGTGCAGGGCATAACTGAATACTGGCTTTGCAGTCCGAATATTTGCACGTAAACTGTGCGTCTTTTGAACACTTTAAAGAAAAGCGTACTGGAGGACGGACGGAGTTTCTCCGCTCCACATTGAGGAGAGGAAGAGCAAACATGAAACAACCCTTTTTGTTGAAGGGCGAGTTGAGTGTTTAGAAATAAGACCTTGGGACCTTACTTCTATTTACAGCCGTAGGCCTTGAGTTTTGCAGCCCCGGGGCTTTGCCCTTCTCTACAGACCTATTGTGAAACTGCTTCCTCCACACTCCAGTCGTCAGACAGACAGTGGCCATTTTGTGTTTAGAGAGCTCTTCTTACAGATCAGACTGCAGGGACAGAGGAACAGCATGAGACAGGTTTTTACATGACGTGTGTGTATGTGTTTGTACGTGTTGTTTGCAGATATGGCAATATTTTCTCTTATGGTGCTGCTGGCTTTTGAGTTTTACGCACATAACAGACATTATTATGTAAAATACAGATCCAAAAAAAAGCAGTTCTTTCATGATATTTTATAAGAGATCTACACAAAGACGAGGTGTATAAGGGGACTCTCTACTGTGTGTTGCCTTTTATAGATATATATTTTTAGAGCACTTACTGTACATTGTGTTACATGATGTCTCACCGTTTTAGCAGTCTCAACTGCGTGGGCAAAACAAAGAGTGCTTTCTTTCTCTTGTGGCCTGACACAAGGCGTGTTTCATCTGCACGACAGCCAGAAAATAGCAACGTTACAATCAGTGTTTGTTGGACTAATTCCCTCACAACCAGAGGTTAACTTTTACTGCGATGAGCTGACTCCACAGTGCTGGATTGAGCCAGTAATATAATTGCCACATTGATAGTAAGAAATGTCAGCGATGTGTAATGTCGTTGGGGACAAATAGTGCAGCGTAGGTTGAATAGCAGAGCCACTGAGTTATGCATCACACCCACAAATATAATCTCCCAAAGGGCCTTTTTTTTTTTTTTTTTTTTTTCTTCAAATCCCCTCTGGTTTCGACTGTCGTAATGAAGAAGGGCAAGCAAAAGTAAAGGAATATGAAAGCGTCTAATGCAGGGGGAAATCTCTGCATTGCAGCAAAAATGCTTTTTAAGAGGAAGAGGGGAGCCTGCACACTGTGATCCGTGTAGCATAGCACAGCTGACCAATAATGTTCCACCCTGTTGGCCCTGCAGCCAATTGCAGCTGCAGTTGAGGTTAAAGATTGACAATCAGAGGCAGAGCAGCGGGGAGAGCAAGGGCCTTGTGGAAAATTCCACAGCCATCTTTGATTCGCCCTTTACAGCCTGATGTAAAAATCCAGGTCAAATCTTTCTTTCATACAGCATATTCTGTGCATACTTGTAGTATAGTTTAATGTGGATCCATTGTTTAAACCTTGTAAAGGAGTCGTGCTAAAACAGGCATCTTTAACTAGTTAAAATGTAAACTAGGATCTTCTGCTTTTAATTGTGTTTTTGTTGAAGTCGATGGTATCCATTTCTTCATTTGTCTGCATGCGATCGTCGGTCTTGTTAAAGCTGAATGTCTTTTGTTATTTTATAGAACCTAATAATCTCTCTGGGGTTTCGTGCAGCACAGTGAGTAGGATGTTTTGTAGTCGATGCTATTAATCCCAAGAGTTTCCAGTGGCAGTTCCAGAGCAGAGAGTACGATAATGATGTTTGCGTTGAATGGCTTTCCTCGACTGCCACATAGAGAGGCCATTCGTCTGTTTGATGTGAATGAACTGCACATTCTTTAAAGAGCAGAGAATAGCTTTGCCAGGATCTCAGTGTGGCTTCACATTGATGCTCTCTCTTTCTTCAAAATGAAATCTAATTATTCTATGACAGCAGTATTCAGGGAAGGAGGCAAGCCAAGACCGAAGACATAAAAAAAAAGAAAGAAAGAGAGATGACTGCTTCTCATTTTGCTGGATTTTCTCATGTCTCCTTCACTTGTGTTCCTCCTCTATCTCTGTGAAGGTTTGTCTTAACATAGCCGGGGTTTTTTGTTGTGTGTTAAATGTTGGACTGTAATCTCCACACATCTCTCTCTGGTCCTCCTGCATGGATGTGCCAGTGCTTGAGTCTGAGCCTCGGAGTGGGGGATGGGGGAGAGGGGGGAGGGGAGCAAGCTGTGGCCTCCATTTTCTGTGACGAGAGAACCCTGCTCGTCTCTCACTGGAGTGGAATCTAAAGGCATTGAGTCAGTGTTTCCTTTTTGTCCATCAGGTACTACTTGCAGAGGGGAATACTGTCAGTGTTTTCTTGATCCCGCGTCTCTCTGGAATACATCCCAGAATCTGCTGAGGATTTATCTGCCTAACTCTCCTTATGTGATGGATCATAGCTCCTGATATGAGAATGTCCTCTGGATCAGCAGACTTTTTCACTGTTGGTCATCATGCTGGTAGTTGCAGCAATGTCTTGCCATTTAAGAGTGTGTGTGTGTGTGTGTGTGTGTGTGTGTGTGTGCGTGTGCATTATTCAGGGTTGTGGCACGTTGTTCAGGAGCTCTGCCTGGTGACGGTGAATGTTCTCTCTTTTCAGGGCTGTGGTACACGTAGCAGAGCGGCTTGGCTATCGTAGTCTTATTTTCATGTGGGCCTCGTTTGTTCACTCAGTCCGGAACAGGAAGGCCCCGGGAGGGGTTGGTGTGTGTGTGTGTGTGGGGGTGGGTGGGACTGTTGGCAGCCTGAAACATGATACTCATGTGCCATGTTTTTAAAGAAACTCTGCGGCCATGTTTGCCATTTTTTTCAGAAAATACAGGTTATGATGCATTTGTTCTTTTAAGTTTCGGTTTGATTTCCAGTCCGAGAGAACAAGGCATGTATTTGGAATAGCCCTGAAGTGTTGGCTTGGTCACAGTATCTGGTATTTTATTTTGTCTGGTAGAAAGAATCTAATCGTTGTTAAACCAGAATTGTGTAGCAAAACATGAGGTTGACTTGTTATTTAAATGAGTATAGGTTTAACAGCTGATGTGATCACATCTAATCTCTTTGAGTTAGGGTTCGTCAGAGCTGACTCATTAATCCCTGTTTTAACCTCTATTCTCTATCAGAGAACTGACATTTGATCAACTTTGTGTGGAATGTCTCTTTAAGGGTGGAGGAGGGGACGTGAGGAGCATTCCTTTACTTTCAGAAGAGAGAGAAAAAAAAAAGAAGCTTATCCCACAACTGTGGTTGACCTTTGAGTGGTAGCCTGTAAAGCCATCATCCTAGCTGGAAACCAGAGCTATGAACTGGTCAAGTGTGTGACCTGTCAGGGGTCCTTGGGAGGGTTTTCTACCCGGGGCTCGTGAATAAAGGCTACATCCTTGGAACAAGGCCCTCAGTTGATCTGACAAAGAAGGAGCCAAATACTCAAAGACTTTCATTTATTGCCAGACTCCCTTTATTCTCATCCTTTAAAAAAAAAAAAAGAAATCTTTTTCTCAGAGATGAGATGAGAGCAGGACGGGTGACCTGGGGAATCACTTCTTGCCTTGCTAGATGTGCACGTTGGAGATTCAGTGTTAATCGCTTTTGGATCGGTTCATTATTTATGGATTTGTTTTTCTATGATATTCATTTTGTTTACGTCAGCTTCGTAGACGCAGCAGTCGAAAATGGCTGATTTAAAAAAACCAAAAAAAAAAACCACAGCATTCTTATGTAACTCCACCATTATGTATGTGGACATTTCCTAAATAGTAAACATGTGGTGCCAAATAAACAGAATTGCTGATAGTGATATAAACATGACATGGCCAGGAAAGCTTTCAATATACATGCGGTGAAGATACGGGACAGAATCATTTACATAGACCTGCTTTTAAGCTTGTGGGATGGATCTCTTGGTCTCTATGGATGGCGTCCAACTCCTTCGTGTCACCGTGTTGCTACTGAAGGGGCTGGAGAGGGAGAGCAGAAACACACACGAGACGATATATATGTATATGTAGTATAGACCAGCCCCTCATGACCCCCCCCCCCCCTCCTCTCCTCACTACAGGTCTATGCACTATCTATTACAAACAAAGATCAGGACCTCATCACACGACAATCTATAGCTGCAATTCCTCCTGAAGCGCGGAGTTGCAGGGTAATAAAACGGCCCTGCGTGTTGTTGTGAATATCAACTTGTGCTTAGCGGAGAGCAGCGTTGCCATGGCGATAGTTGCCATTCTCCCCCTCGGAACATAAAGAACATATTCGGACTCATTTGTCACTGATAACATGGAGAGGGTTTCTGAACTTGGTGTCAGGGATGTGCCGAAATCAAATGAAAACAATAGCAATGGAAAGCCTGCAGAGTCCCTATTGACGGATCCTCTGGGACCCGGGTGCCTTAGGTGGTGTTCCACTTGTTTACTGTTATGCTGATGTGGTTTCAGAGCACCCTTTCTGATTGTGTGTTTTTGCCTCTCTTCTTTCTGGGTGGCTCTCGTTCGGCGCTCTGCAGTCTGGCTGAGGAGGAGATAAAGACAGAGTCTGATGTGGTAGAGGGGATGGATGCGTCCGTACGATCCAAAGGTAAGTCTCTGAGGCTGCCTGCCTGTTTAGAATTTGTGTCAAGTATCAAACTAACAGTCTTGTTAGTTCAGAGGGAGCCCTCCAGCTATTTGTTACTATAAAGCTAATATGTAGAAGTGGCATCTTCAATAATTGCTTTAAAATCAGTGTGATTGCTGTCAGTACTTGATGAGCTGAGCACTGCATCCGACTATCGAATTTCTCAGCTGGAACTGACTTGAATTTGCACTTCCTTGGTTTCTCTAAGACGTGTTAAGGTTTATGTTTGTTTCCTTCCTCTTGATATATTCTCAAAATAGCTAAATTACTGCCATGGCACCTGTGTTTTAATCCTCTTAAGCGTGTGCGACGTGTTGCGTGCAGTAAACAATGCAAGCCTGTCTCCCATCGTGTGATGACCTGATTGTCTTTCTGCCTGCAGTCCCTGATCCACCGGGGTCAGCGGAACGAACCATGGCCCCGCAGAAGAGAAAGGTGTCCAGTCCCACCCATTCCTCCAACGGGCACTCTCCCTCGGAAACCTCCCCCAGCCCTCTGAAGAGAAAGAAGAAGCCCGGGGCCATCAACTGTTACAGCAAAGACCAGGTAAGTGCTCCAAGTATACCCTCTTCAAGATCTGGCGTGCTCTCAAAGGCTGTGGTGTACAGTCTGTCCTTTCACACCAGGAAGTGGATTTAGCCAAAGAGATGGAACCAAGAATAATCCTAAACTAAGAGAACTTGAGCTGGCAATAAGCGCAATTACCATTACATTAAATCGGCCGTTTCAGTCTTAGGCTAAAACTACTTGGACTGCTAATCTTAGACGAAGATTTCTTTAGTTGATTACTCATTTTTATATTCTTTTCTCATGCTGAATGACTTTTTTTCCAAGATACTTATAAGCACATTTAAGCACATACAATCTGTAATTCTTTGTGGAGAAACTCAGTTTTACAGATCTGTCGATTTAATTCAACTCATCGATTAGTCTACAAAATTGTACGAGTGTTGGTCGACTAAGAATTGATTTGGTCCAGGACAGCTTTAGGCCAGGTTATGCTCAACAAGAAGAAGTTTGTACGACTCGTTGTCTGCCCTCGTGGGGAATCGAATGTGTTTACAGCCGGTCTGAACGGCCGTACTCGACAAAGGTAGACTGAAAAGCCTGCCGTCATAGTGAGGAGGAAGACGTATACGGGAAGAACCGTTCATTCTCAGACAGTCTCTCCTGGAAGTCATTCATATTGTTTTTACACACGAGGAGTGCCACAAAATAAGTTGTGTAAAGAATGAGAAAGCAGCGCTCGAAAGAGGACCTCAAACCATGGCTCCTTTCTCTTCTCCACATAACTGGCCGATCGGGGCGTGACGTGTGAATGTCACATTCAGAAAGTTACAGGAATTGTTGAAATGCGGGACTTATTTCCTTGTCAGAAACTCACCACATTGCCTGCGAGAGCACACCGATTTAGATTTTGAGTGACGTATACTGTCTGCTTAAAGATGGACAAACGTGTATGGATGTTACCTGCTGTGACGGTGTAGATGTATGGGACTGATTGGTGTGTTGAGCAGTGCATTCTCAGCTCACACTGACTTTATTATTCTTGTTATTTATGGTCATTTATGTCCTGTTGTATGGTAAAATATAAGTCTTCTGCACATTGATGGTATATGACTCTACTACAAATGTGTTCAGTGTTTGCTTGCCAAATGAGCGTGTTCCTGAGTGATTCCTTTTTACCCGTTAGTCATCTGTTGAACTTGCATGATTCTACCTTTTTGTTGTGTAATATTTTGACCGGTGTTGTAGATGCTTTGATTGGCAAATAAGCTGCAATTGAATCTTTACCACTACTCGTATTGACTTAATACCTAACACTAATTTGGTGTAAGCTTTACGACTCAAGCTTAAGATATGTTGGACTGTGAAGCATCCTCTTGAGCTGTGAAAGCAGATGCATCAGCTTCTATTCATCCCGTGTATCATCAGCAGATTACCAGCTGGGCTCTGAACAGAGAACCATATCATGCATTGTGTTAACGCTCAGTTGAAATGTGAGCTTTCGATCCTCAAGCTCACGCTCTAAAACCTGTTGGGTTACTCTTGTTTGACTCACAGTGGAAACAGTCACATGACCAGATTGCTGTAAAACATGTTCGGTTTATTACCATCACTTCCCTCTATGCTGCTTACCCTGCTTACCCCACCGTATTGCTGTCTTGTTTCTGTTGCACTGCACCTTTTTTGTGTTCCTGCGTGTTTTTTGAAACCTGCCCCCTTGTTTTTCTTGCCTGCATTTCAGTCAGAGCTAAGACATGGCCCCTTTTACTATATGAAGCAGCCAGCCCTCACCACAGACCCTGTTGATGTTGTACCGCAGGACGGGAGGAATGACTTCTACTGCTGGCTGTGCCACCGCGAGGGCCAGGTGCTCTGCTGTGAGCTCTGCCCCAGGGTGTACCACGCCAAGTGCCTCAAACTACCAGCCGAGCCCGAGGGCGACTGGTTCTGTCCAGAGTGTGAGGTATCTCGCAGAAGACGTGTATGTGTGTGTGGCTAATACGCAAATGATTGTGGCAAGGCACAATCTTGCTTGCTCGGTTGACAAATGGGGTGTCAGACTATGTGTCGTGTGCAGCTTCAGCCAGAGAGAAGGAGCTAGTCGGTGAAATCTCCTGCTTTTTTTCTGTGGTTGATCCAAAAACCTGCAGACCTCTGGGCCTTTCCATGACACATGGTGTGACACCCCAGCAAGCTAACTGCTCACACTGCAAGTTTGAGAGATGTTTAGAGAATTTACTCTGCACTTCTATTCATTGGCAGACTTTTAAATATATGTATTAGCTAAATCCAAAGAAACCAGGTAATATAAACTGAACAAAAGTTAAGATGGACGTTCATATTAGTTTCAATGGGCCTCATTCACCAATACGTTTATTTTTCTTTAATTTGTTCTTGAGAAATGTTTATAGCAGATTCAGGACATGCTCTTAAACCACAGAATTGTTCGTACCCGTTTCCTTATAATGAGGAATCCATTGTCCTATTGAATTCAAGGTGTGTGCCTGTTGATCCTAATCAGCAAAGGTAAACGCCTGCTAATCTGCATAAAGGGTCACGAGAATGAAGCGCCTTTTGAAACGCCCAAACAAAAGTCTAAACAGGGTGGAGCGCAAGACTTCAAACGTTAAAAAAACCTTCTGAAGTGGAGGTAGTTCTGCAGGAAGTGAATGCCAAACAAGTTTAAACAATATACAATATTTAGAAGTGGATCATAAGTACATGGTTTAAACATTTTTTTTCTTTATTTCTCTTGCAGATTATCACCTAATTCAGTGGTTCTCAAACTTTTTCTGTCACGCCCCACTTTGGAGGAAGAAAAATGTTCATGCCCCACCACCCCAAAAAAATTGTAACAAAATGATCCATGTTGAACTTTTATTGAAATAACAACATTTTGTGACTCTTCCATCTGTGCTTTTTCAAATAATAGAATAAAGAAAATTGCAATTACTTTCAAGTAAACCAGATTGCTCCATCAGACAAAAACAAACACAATGTGCAATCGCTTTGTTAGAACAATGCAAATAAAGTTCAATCTGTGCAAAAAAACAACTAATATTTGGCAAAAAATTGCTTATTGTGGCTGCAATTCACCTGTTTTGCACTGAATATCTTTCTAAGATAATAACAATAAACTGCAACCTGTCAAAAACTAAACAAAACAAGTTCAAATATTTGGCAATAAAGAGTTTTACTGAGTTTTACACTGCATATCTTTTCAAAACAACAATAACGTGCAACCTGTGCAAAACTAAACAAAATTAGTCCAGGTATGTGTGAGCCATATGCTAACACATATCAGGAGCATTTTATTTTAAATATGAGCTTTAAAATGTAGCATTCTAAAAGTAAAATAATAGCTGTGATAATAATAATAATAATAATAGCTGCACATGGGACTGTTAGTACACTGGCTGTGGTCATCACAGTGAACAGTGTCTGGCAGTGTGATGAGAGGACATGTGAGCCCTTGTTGCTGTACTTATCAATGTATTTAAAATACTGTGACAGCGGGAAGCTGTACTCACGTCTGTTTAGACCTCCACCTTTATCCAGGCCCAGCTCCACCTTTATCCAGGCCCAGCTCCACTCACAGCTCAGCCCTGCGTCAAGCTGCGCTACAGACAGCCTCCTCTCCCTGAAGCTCTTTGACCTCATCATCTCATCAGTATCTGGGCCTCATGTTTCGTGGTCATGAAAGTTATTCTGACCACGAAATCATCCTCATTCTACTTTGAGTTAAAAAAACAACCTGCAACCAGATGCGCCGGTGTTTAACGTTAACGAGTGACTGCGTGAACTGAACCGGAACACGGGGGGGCTTCATGTTTCATCACGTTACGTTTTTTCCTCCTAAATCGTGATAATGATGAACATTAACAGTCGACAAAGTTCCGCATGCAGTGGACGTTAACTTAACCCAGCAAGTGTGAACGGTAACGGAAGATAACGGAACTTAAACTTTAACGGAGGGAAATGAAGACGCTGTAGACATCTGAACGCTGATTGGCCAAGACTCGACACTCAAAGATGTTATATTGCGAAGATCACGACATCACATTTTCTCCTCGTCTCACTCCAATCTGAGAAACGCTGGCGGCCAGTTGACCCCCCCCCCCCCCCCCCAACAAAAAAACCTCTACGGATCTACACGATTCACGTAGATGATATATTTTGATTCAAAACGGCGAATTTCGGCGAATAAAAAAATTGCATTTCCCCCTGCGCCCCACCTGCAATACCGCCGCGCCCCACAGTTTGAGAACCACTGACCTAATTGATATTTGTATATTTATTATATGAATATAAAGTAATGAAATTCACAGTTTGAAATGCTTTTCAAATGACTGTATACTGTACTGTGTATATTATAATACAGTACTGTATAGACTACTGTAGTTCACATTATGATTAGGCTGCAGACTAACAGCATTGTGCTGTTTATACACAGCAACATCAGTGCTACTCCATATGTAGTCACGTATTATAGAAGCTAAAATGATCACTGGTGGAGGACTACTTGATTACTGTGAGCAAATGAAATATTAATCTTCATGAAAACTACGTAAGTGGGTTTTAAGAAGACATTTCTCGTCAAGAGCAGTTGGTGAATGAGGTCCAATGTCCTTTTGATGTATGTTAACTTCACTATGGGTTAATTAATGTAATTAATTATTAAATGTTTTTATTATTGTTGCAGAAAATAACAGTTGCTGAATGCATCGAAACCCAGAGCAAGGCAATGACAATGCTGACAATAGACCAACTCTCCTACTTGCTCAAATTTGCACTTCAAAAGATTAAACAGCCTGGGGTGAGTATTTAAAGATCCGTTGAATGCTGGTTTTAAAAGTGCCTTATTATCTATGTCTAAGAAAGTATTTTATATAAAGCCCCTCGAAGCAAATGTGTGATATTGAGCTATATAAATAAGATTGATGTGACTTTACTTTGGTATGCAAACACAAAAGTCCAGGAAATATATCCAGGACATGAGACTTGTTTGGCTAAAGTATTTATTTGTTTTTTCTTTTCCACATTTGTCTAAACCGAGCAGACTGAGCCTTTTCAGAAACCCGTGTCTCTGGAACAGCACCCGGATTATGCAGAGTACATTTTCCACGTGATGGACCTGTCGACTTTAGAAAAGGTAATGTTGTTTATTTTTCTTTGATTTGAACGGAAAAATGGTAAAAGAAATATACAAAAGACGTCTTTAAAAATGTAGAGAGAAAGTGTTGATCGAGCAGGAAGGGACAGCAAACGTGTGTGAAGCCTTATTGGGAATGTGTGTGTGTATGTTTATGTGTGTTTATACTGTATGTGGACTTGATTGTCCACCAGATTCCAACATTTTCTTTGGCTCACCAAAACGAAAAAGCAGCACGAGAACATTTAACATATTAAACATGTAACAGAACAAAGTCCCAAGATGCCGAGTCCAGTTCACAAGAAAAGTACAGATACTACAATACATAAAGCAAACGTTGGATCAATATTTGTGGCCCAGCATTTACAATATTTGAATATTTTCAGTGAAGTACCTTGTCTTTGATTTTATTATTTTCACTTTTTAATAGAATATCAAAAAGAAAATGTATGGCTGCACTGAAGCCTTTCTTGCTGACATGAAATGGATCTTACACAACTGCATCATCTACAATGGAGGTAAGCCAGTTTGACCTATATCAGCAATCCCTCTACTCTGCTAATTAAAAATATTAAGATTGTGACTTTATTCCAGGTAATCACAAATTAACAGCAACTGCAAAAGTCATCGTCAAGATTTGTGAACATGAGGTAAAGAAGCTTCACCTAATAATACCAACTATTCTGTAGATGAGTGTGATTTAAAGATTAATTGCATCTTTGTCATGTATTATATATTTCTAGATGAATGAGATTGAGGTGTGTCCAGAGTGCTACCTGTCTTCATGCCAAAAAAGGGACAACTGGTTTTGTGAGCCATGTGTAGGTCCTTACGCGATCTTAAATACTGTTTTCAAACATTTCAGTTTTGATTGCAGATCTGTGAGGAGTTTGATTATTTGTGCTTCATCCCTTATAGAGTCCACCCCACCCTCTGGTCTGGGCTAAACTAAAGGGCTTTCCCTTCTGGCCAGCAAAAGCACTTCGGGAAAAGGACGGGCAGGTAGACGCACGCTTCTTTGGGCAACATGACAGGTGACAGAAGCTTTTGAGCATTGTAGGGGATCTATAGCTCTGTGTTTAGCTTGTTGGACCAGAAGTAAGTCATAAGTAATTCTCCTGGTCATTGTAACTTGATGAATGTTTTGTTGTGCTTATATGTAGGGCCTGGGTCCCCATCAACAACTGCTACCTCATGTCCAAAGAGATTCCTTTCTCTGTGAAGAAGACAAAGAGCATTTTCAACAGTGCCATGCAAGAGATGGAGGTCTATGTGGAAAATATTCGCAAGAAATTTGGGATATTCAACTATGCACCCTTCCGCACTCCCTTCACACCCAACAACCAGCTACAGATGCTACTGGACCCCTCCAACCCCAGTGCTGGGACCGTGAAAACAGAGAAACCGGATAAACTACGCTTCAACTTCGATATAACCGCATCTCCTAAGATGGTCCTCGGCAAGAGTTCCACGCCCAGTGGCATGGGTCGGAGGGTCTCAATGACGGACATGCCTCGGTCTCCCATGAGCACTAACTCCTCGGTTCACACTGGGTCTGATGGGGAGCAGGACATGGAAAAACCCGGCAGGAATCCTGCCTTCCACTACAGCACTGGAGAGGAATCAATGGACTGTACTGGTAAATAAACATCGATATTTTTACAGTAGCAATTTATGAAATGATGACGTGAAAGGGGTTGCTGGTAGAGTTGAAACTACAGAGAATTTACGGAGGCTTTCCAGAGCTTTATAGCAAGTTTCAGCTCTTTGTTTAGCTGTCCGGCGTGGTTGAGACAAAACCAGAGCTAAAAGTAAAGTGAATGTTGGACTTACATTCATGAATTATATTGTTGCTTCATAACTGCTGCATGTGTAAAGACTTTGCTAACAAGTTCCACATATTAACTGATATCAACTTAAAAGGGGATGATGTGTCAGTGTTCACAACTTGTTTGTCCTGCCCTAAAATGGCCACTCAAAGGGTTTAAATTAGCCATGAGAGGAGTGATGCCCTTTATTAAAAACTATTTTACATTTGTAATTACAGCATCTCCAGTCTCGGGGAAGATGGGTCCTGCAGGCAACGCGGCAGGCAGCCCGAAGCCCTTTAACCCTGGACTGGTCCCCAAGCAGGAGAGGACCGCAGGCACAGGCGGCATCCTCAATCTCAACCTGGGTCAGTTCCAACAGCACAAATATGCTGTAATGATGATGTTAGATGTTAACAATCATCATTGCCATGTTAGCTTATACTTAGTTTGTACTGATATCGAACATTTACCTGTTCCTCTCAGATCGGGTGAAGGCTGAGATGGATCTGAAGGAGCTGAGTGAGACCGTGCAACAACAACAGCAGCAGCAACAACAAGGAGCGTCCGCTTCCCTTCCCACCCCAAAGAGACTCATCAGGAGCCTGGACAAGACCATTGAGAGCTGCAAGGCACAGCTCGGTACATATCCAATCACCTTTGTGCTATTTTCTCATAAAAGAATAATATTCCAGTAATTTTAAGAATATTTCAGGTTTTTTTTGGTGTTTTTTTTGTAGTGCATTTACAGGGAAAATATTTGTTTTCAAGTTGATGCAGTAAATCATGAGTGACTAATTTTTACATGTTTAATGTTGTGATAAATTTGGAAGAATTTACCCAAAAAGCTGACACGTGTAATATCAGACAAAGCGTGGCTGCTACTGACTCAGGGTTGGTGTTTGGAAACAGTCAGGCTATTAGCAAAGCAAATATTTTTTTATTCTTTATTCCAGTCTGTCTGACAGAAGGTGTTTTAACTCTTTCAAAACTTGTAATCAATAATGTGTGTTTCTCCATTCAGGGATAGACGAGATCTCTGAAGATGTGTACAAAGGTGTGGATCACAGCGACTCTGACGACTCTGAGAAATCTGACTCAAGTGACAGCGAGTATCTCAGCGACGAGGAACACAAGCCAAAGAACTCCGTCCAGGACGACCATGACAAAGCGGAGAGAAAAAGGCCCAAAGCAAACACAGATGGAGAGAATAAGGAGGGGGTTACAGGGAAAGTGGATAAAGCCACCCCTGAACTTCTGCATAAAGACAAACACGGTGCCAATGGCCCTGATAGGGGCCTCCAGGACAAGCCCAGGACGCCCCAGTCACAGCCCCTCGCTGACAAACCCAAAGCCCAAGAGGAGGGCAGAGCAGCTGCTGCCACATCAGCAGCTGAGCAAGACTCCGATTCTGAAAGAGAGCTGGTGATCGACCTGGGAGACGAACATGGAGGCCGTGACTCAAAGAGGGCGAGAAGAGAGCCGGGAGCTTCTGCGGCTAAAACTCTCAAAGAGCCTAATGTTGCCAAGCTGGAAGGTGAGGCCTTTGACATGCTGTATCCATTTTCTCCCGTCGTTCTCATTCGGACTTGTGTCTCAGTTAGAAGGACGACTGGGAGGAAATAATCCCCTTGAAATGTTGGAACACAAAATAGTGACATGCAGGCCAGTTTGAGCTTCAATGCAAGTGCTTTCCAGTTTCCTTATTTATACATTCCATGGATCAGTGACTTATGCAGTATACAAACGTTATCACCCTTTCCTTAAGAAAATACCATCACTCTTTGTGGACAAAAAAAGTATTAATAGAAATATCAATTGCCATAAAACTTACAAAAAGGAACATTACAACTATCTTTTGAGAATCGATCACATTCTCATCTTTCATCTTAACCATCAAAAACTCCTACAATTCTGTAGTCTTTCAACCAAATTGTTTAAAACAAACCTTAAGACACACCTACCTTCTGTCTCTAAAAATGTATGGATAACCATTTCAATGTCTGCAGTTGACCATAACGCATTCCTCCATTTAACAGAGTACTCCACAGATGTAGCATTGCTCTCCTAGAATTGTTGGAAACACAATGGACAGTTCAAAATGGATGCAGCCGAACCATAGATATAGTTCTTTTAAATTCCACATTTTCTTCTTCCTTGTCAAAATGTACATTACCCACAATGCAATTCAAGCAGCAACAGTTTGGTGAGAGATTCAGGTGTGTTATCTTAGAAGTGGCTAATGTTTCCTCAAGCCACTACTCAAACAAATATGAGTGTCATCACTTAAGACAGTTCATCAGATTTTATGAAGCTTCTTTTGGTGCCACAAAAGGCTTTATCCAAATTGTTTTTACATATGCAGTTTTACCTTCCAATACCTGTTGAGGGAAATTTAATAACAGGGGAACTCCTCCAGTTTTACACATCAATCGTTCTCAAAAACTCCTGTTCCTTGACTTTAGGACAAATGTCCTCCAGTAGACTCGACAAAAATGTCTTCACGTTAACTTCCAGATTTAACCCTCTTGGGCTTAAAGTGCCCAGTTTAGAAATCCAGAAAGCCCGACACTTATGGAGAAATATTATTATTTTTCTGTTCAGGTAAACTGGCTTCATCTGCTGCAGCAGCTGCTCCGTCACGGGAATCCGCCCCTAATCTGAAGGACACTTTGCAACCCGCCATCACAGCTGCCCTCAACCTTGTTTCCACCAACCTTGTGCCCAGTGCCACCACAGCTACCAGCGTATCCCCCGGTGCACCCTCTCCTGCCTCCACCTCGGCCTCCACAACATCCCCCGTACCTGCAGCTTCAAAGAAACAGCGCCCTCTACTGCCCAAAGAGGCGGCTCAGGCCGTGCAGCGAGCAGTGGTTTGGAATCCAACCAAATTCCAGACGTCCTCTCAGAAGTGGCACATGCAGAAGGTGCAGAGGCAGCAGCAGCATGGAGAGCAGTCACCAGTGCAGACGCCGGCCCAGAGTCCGGGGCAGGCAAGCAGCCCACAGCAGGTTCAGTCCCAACAGCAGAACTCCTCAAGTACCCGCTATCAGACCAGACAAGCTGCCAAGGGTATATGCACCAGCATAATCAATCATCTTAACATTGAACTTAAAATAAAAAGATAAAATGTGTATTTAAAAAATCCTCCTTCATCCCCTGCAGTGCAAAAAGACGTGCCTCAGAGTACTTCCTCATCAACAGCTGCCCAGGTCACATCTGGCAGCTCCTCGTCAGGAGACGTGCAGATCCCCACAGGCTCAGCAGAGGTGGCTGCGGATATAACCAAGTACACAAACAAAGTAATTTGGCTAATTTTACCTCCTATAAATTGAATAACTGCTCTCTTCACTTCATTTTTCAGGATTAGAAGTGGTTAAAACTGTCGGCTAATATCACATGTTTTTGCTAAAAATCTGCAGATTATGGACACAATAAAAGGGACAATGACTGAAATCTACAATGATCTCTCCAAAAGCACTTCAGGAAACACAATTGCAGAGGTAAATTCTGGCTTATAGACTGATGCTTATTTAACATGTCATAAAAATACGAGGCAAGTTTTAATCTCTGGGCAATTTTGCCACAGATTCGACGGCTAAGGATAGAGATTGAGAAGCTCCAGTGGCTGCATCAACAAGAGTTGTCAGAGATGAAGCACAATCTTGGTAAGTTGACGTTCTACTGAACCGGTAGTAATATGACTACACATGTCAGGAGTTTCAAGTTGTTTTCATTTTGTCTCACTTAAATGCAGAACTGACGATGGCAGAGATGAGGCAGAGCCTGGAGCAGGAAAGAGAGCGCTTGGTGGCTGAGGTGAAAAAGCAGACGGAGGTGGAAAAGCAGCAGGCAGTGGACGAGACCAAAAAGAAACAGTGGTGCGCTAACTGCAGGAAGGAGGCCATCTTCTATTGCTGCTGGAATACCAGTTACTGTGATTACCCCTGTCAGCAAGCCCACTGGCCTGAACACATGAAGTCCTGCACACAGTCAGGTAATATAACCACACTCACAAAACACTAGTGTGTTCAATATATAAATGTGGACAAAATCTGTTGTTGATTTATGTTGAGTGCTGTGATGCACAGAGTTGTCACACAATGGTTATTAAAGATAATTGGCAAATACAAATAACAAAAGTCATTGTTTTATTACATGAAATTAACATCATTTAAAAATCTAATAAAACAGTCTGCCAAAGATACTCATAAAACAAAAATATATACTCAAGTATTGTATTATTTATTATTTAGAGCTGATTGATGTGAACGCTTCCCCAGTTAATCGTTTCCTGTTGCAGATGAAGCAACCAGTATTTGTTCCTCAAGTACTGTGATCTGAACTGAAATGTTATTTGACATGAAAGACGCATGGCAATAAAGTGTGCAATAAATACTGTGTACTGTATTGCACTGTAGAGGAATATACAGCATGTTTTCTCTGCCATCAGGATGACTAATTCTCCTGATGTTAACCAGATTTATGTCAAAAATTAAAACGTTTTTGTACTTTAATGCCTGGCTTTTTCTTGTGTATTAAAAAAATAATAATAATTCTAATTTCCTTGTTACTTTTGTGAAATAGTAGATTAAAGCTGTCTTTGGGAACTTATATAGGAATAAACTTTTATGAAACTGATGACTGATGTCACTATATCCTGACAGAAGTACATGAGACAGATAAGCTGTGAAAAAGTCAGGTTCCTCTGCTTCTTTTTGGTGCATTTGCAAGATTCCGCCGCACCTGAAGGAAAAACAACGCAGCTGTCAATCACTGCTCGTAAAGGTAGTGAATTCCAGTCAAACTGTCAGCCTGCAGTGCTGATCAAATGTGAATCAAGATTCTGTTACTGTATTGCCCATATATCTGCTCAAATGATTTCAGAAACATATATTTATTGAACTGTTTAGCTGTAAAATGAGTTTGCTCTGGTCGGTGGGCGGTGCTTGGTTTTGGCTCGACTGTTTTCAAAATGGCGGCAGGATCACAAACTTTCATGTACACATAGTGACAGTTTAAGAAAATATGCTAAAACTTTAGTTTTTTTGTTATTACTAACTGCATTTTATTCAGATGCGTTATCTTTCATTGTTGTTTTTTGTTGTTTTGAAACTGACACTGTACTGTATTTCATTTTTTTTAATATGGGAAATGGAAATTCCAAGGCAGCTCCTTCTCCATGCTTTCTATATTTACACTGCAGCATCTTGCAATAAATGTCAAATGTATAATGGACATGACACCATCCGAGACACACATTCCTCCTATAAACTCAACCCCACTGTCACCTAGCCCCCGGCTCCTCTCAACCTAAGCACGCATTACTTCAAAAGCTCATATAATGTATCTAACCAACTGAAAAAAGGTGTAACTTTTCAATAATACATACAGATAGCTTACCTCGTCATTGTTTTATAGACAGAGCCTTGCCTCTCTCTCTACCTGCAGGGGGGTAAGAGGCAAATTCTGCGGATACACAGTGTCGATGTTCTCAGTTTATATTTTTGTTTTCCCTTCCAGCCACAGCTCCGCAGCAGGACCCAGAGGCAGAGTCCAACTCGGACCCTTCAGTGAAATCATCAAGCCACTCTCCTCCCAAGCAGACCCTGCCCTCTGGAGCAGGACCCTTATCAGACAAAAGCAACTCTCCCACATTCGTTGACAAGAGCAAGGACAGCGCTGGCATTACTGTGACCTAACTGCTACACTACAGATACACTCATTTTGCCAGGCCGCTGTGGGGCTTGTCGCGTCAAGACATACGGTGTTAAACTTGGTGCTTGAAGGCCTGCAGCGCTATGACAAATCACTTTGATTTTTTTTTTCCATTCCCATGTGTACATCTGCTTGGTGGACTTTTTTGTTGTTGCTGTTGTCATCTCTCATTCGCAGTTTCCACAAGTCTGTGTTCAGGTGGATTCACAATGTGAAAGTAGTCTGTCTTGAGAAATAAAATGTGAGGTTGTATGTTTTCATATTGTAGTTTTGTTATAGCTCTGTTACCACTTTGTTTCAAGTTTGAACAAGATTGTATCGACTCACAGAATATTTACACTTTTCAATGCTGCTCTTAAGTACTTAATTGCTGTATCATTTAGTGGATTTATCTCAATATTATGAGACAAAAACAGCCACCAACAGTTGATATTCATTCATCATGGTGCCATCAGAGGTATGTTGAGTTATGCAAGTTTAATCTTTGTTTTAAACCATGTTCACTTCATGTCAACTGGGATATTTTGAGTAATGCAAGTTTAAACGTAATGTTTTCAACTATGTCAGCGGGGGCATTTTTGGCTCATACCAACTTTGTATTGTAGTTAAACATTGTATAGACATACATAAAAAGATATCTGTGATTTATAAAAAAAAAAAGAACTGAAACATTTAAACTGTACAAAGTTTTTGTAAGAAAATACCTTAACAATATTTATAGTGTTATATGTTTTTATAGTATGTTTAATGAAATCACATTTTTATGTGTCTAAAAAAAAAAAAGTTATTTGAAAATAAATTACTTCATATGAATGTCAGCTCTAAGCGAAGCCTCTGTTTAACTTGTTATCCAAAGCTGGTGTAAATCCTGATCAGACTGTCTGTATGAGTTGGGTAGGAATAAATAGAAACTGCATTTTGGCTGGACATTATTTCCTGTGCGCATGTCTGTTTTGAGCTTGTGTTCGTGTTTACATATTGTACATACAATAAATGGACTCGTGAAGAAAAAATAAAAATGCTCTGATCAACCTAACGCAGTGCACCCTTGATTCATTTTTAGAGTCCCTCGTTCCCTGCAAATGAGCACACAGCAATCGACCGCTCGCTGAACCGGAAGCCACGGGGCTTTCCGCCTGTGACTAGGAAATCTCGCGAGATTACGAAAACGGCAAAGCAATGCAGAGAAAATGGAAGGCTGTGTTAGCTTACTAGCTGGCTAGCTGAGCGAATCCATTATATAACTGGAAACTAATCATTAAGATTCAAGGTATGATTCCAGTGTTTCTTACAGTGTTGTCGTACAAGCCTGCAACATGCACTTATTGTTTCGGAACAATTAGCTTCGCAGTACGTAACATTTATTAGCAGCTAGTTTAGCAGCTAGTGGCTAACGTTAGCTTAAATTAGGTGCAGAGAGCAGCGTTGGTCGTCGCCAGAAAAGATACTCCTCTATTCTCTTTATGGAATAACTCGGGTGTTTGCGGCTTTGCAGGACAAGGAAGTTTCGTTTCCGCTCTTTCACAGTCGACTGAGATCTGGTAGTGACATAAGTAAGGGCTGTTAATTCGTTCGTCTGATTTGGAAACAAGGTAAATTACATTTAAAGTACATATATTGCTCACATAGTCGTCACGCCTGTCGATAAATACACCATCTGCACCAGGCTGAGTCTGCACCTAGACATAAAGATGGGTCAGGTCTTCAGCCACACAACAGCAAACCAACGTTAGATAATGTAAACACTGGGTATATTTAGTAAATAACGCGTTTGGAAACAAGCGAAAAATATGAAATTAGACAATTTTGGATTAAAGTAAACGTTAATTAGACACAACGCTGGAAACAGTATATTGTGTTCCTTCGTTAAGTGTTGTTAAAATGCACTCATTTGCAGAGCAACGTGTTCAACCCAGTTAGATTCACCCATGTAAACATGTGGATAGCCAGCCTTACAGTCCTTTATTCTATATTTAAGTTATTAAACATAGAATGCAGTATTAAGGAAGTGGAACTTTAATATTCCATGTTTTTGCATGTCAAATGTGTTAGGCCCAGTGTCTTTATTACCTTGATCTAATCGCTTTTCTCATCTTCATTGGTAGAATGGGGGGAACTAAAGCTCCAGCCTTCTCACAAAACAACTGATATCCTTAATCATGTTACTGTTATGGTTCGTGCGTGGGGCTTATTTTTGCCTCCTAATTTAGCCATATACAAAGAGAGACAAGTGGAATGACTCTTTGCACATCCTGAAATTTAGGCCTTTGCAGCCATCTGCAAATTTTTTTCCAGAGGTACCTTTTTTCTTCATTTAGTCCTCATCCAACTTGCTCAATAGTTAAAATTCCTTAGAACTTGTGTACTAACAAATTATGTCTTTGTGTGTTGACAGCGGCGTTACCTGTGGGTGCCGAAATGGACCCAACGGAGAATGACAACGATGGTTATAATGCAGGTAAACCAGATTATTTGGTCTATGAGTTTCTGTGATGCACAACCTGTCGCCATAGATGAAAGAGATTTATTTTGGTTGATTTATTATGTTTTTCTTTCTATAGAGGAACAGCAGAGCCAGTCAGAAGAGGCAGAGTCGAGTGTTAGGCCGACCATGTCTCAGGTTAAGAAGTCCTGGGGCTTCAGGAGGACAACCATCGCTAAAAGGGAGTTCATTGATGAAGTCGGAGAGCTAACCCACAGTCCTCCAATTGTACGCAGAGGCCGAAGTCGTCGAACCAACCAGACGCCCCCGCCCACTCCAGAAACCTGCACCACCCAAAGAGCTAATAGTGCAACTAAGAGTGTTCTCGATGAGCTCGAGTGGTCTGCCCCGTCATCACCGGTATCGGAGGAGAGCAAGCCGGCCTCCGAAGCTTCTGCAGGAGGGAGCCTTGACCCCAGCTTATGGCAAGATTTTGGCTCTGCCTTCCACACTGCCTTCTCACTGCTCGGCGGGAACGAGGGCTTGTCAATGGAAATGTCAGATGCACTGGCAGTTCCTGACCTTTTGGAAGCCACTGATGCCACCGAGGCCCCTCCTCCAGAGGATATAGAAGACACAGAGGTGCCTGATCATATTGAATCGTCTGATGACATGGAGATCTCGCAGCCTGTTTCTCCTGACAATGTGGCGGGAGGGGACATCGACGATGTGGTGTTGATTTCTAGTCAAGAAGAGGACAGTGATGAAATGACTCTGATGCAGATTAAAGAGCAACTGGCATCGAAAGCTAGGCAGGGTGACACGAGAGCTAGAGGGGGGAGAGGTGGAAGAGGAAAGGCCAGAGGAAGGGGGAGAGGCAGAGGAAGAGGAAAGGGCAGAGGTAGAGGAAGGGGCAGAGGGAGGGGCAGGGCGGCTGCGCTTCAATCAAGCGTTGTGGATGACGAGGACGTCAATGATGAGGTGGTGCTTGTTCATCCAGCTGAACAGCAGCTGCAGCAGGAGGAAAAAGAAAATGATCCACATGGCTCTGCTGAAATAGAGATATCATCTACTAACTCTGACATCACTCTAAGTCCCACTCAGCAATCAAGCTCAGACTACATAGTCATAGACACTGATTTAGACCAGATTACTGATGTGACTCCTGGCCAGTATGATGACGCACCAGAGGAGGAGGAGGAGGTGGAGCAGCAGGAGGAGGAGGAGAAGAAGAAATATGCTAAGAAGTGTTCAGGCATATCTGATGCAGAGGGCTCTGACTCCAATGCTCTGTACTGCATCTGTCGACAAAAACAAGATAAAGGGTATATGCTCATTTCTGGTAACAAGATCTCTTGGGCTTCGGAGGTTTGCATACCTCAACCATCTGCCCGTTTCACTTCCTGATTGCTACTGTTTTTTCTTTACCGCTTACAGGTTCATGATCTGCTGTGACAGATGCCAAGAGTGGTTCCACGGCGACTGTGTTGGTATCGCTGCGGCACAGGGCCGTAAGATGGAGAGGAAAGGGGAAGAGTACATCTGCCCTCCTTGTACCACAAAGAAGCAAATCCAACTACAACCGGAGCTTCACATTCAACCGGAGCCTGAGCTGAGCTACCCCGAATGCTTGACACTGAGTCCTCCTGGTGGACAACAGGAGGGGCACGAGGAGCAGCAAGACCTCAAGGTTAGAATTCCATTTTGGTTGCCAGTGATCTCCAGATAGCTTAATATACTTAGTCACTACAATAGGAAATGATATAGCTGTTCAACTTGTTGAGGTAGTTATTAGGTTGAATATTTCTCTAATTCCTGTGTGACAGCAAGTATGAGATCACAGTATTATATTTGTCTTATTACTCCTCAGTTGATGTTCACTACAGAAGTTTGCCGTTCTGTTCTAAGATGAGACTCTGGTTTCAGGAGACTGTGTTGGTGTTTGAGGAGGAGGAGGAGGAGGCTCCTGTGACCAGGCCTGGGCCTATTCCTGAGCTTATTCCTGAGCTTATTCCTGAGCTTATTCCTGGGCCTAAGCTTGAGCCTGAGCCTGAAGTTGAGATGGAGACAGACAGCTCGCTTCCTCTGTGCATTGGACCCAGGTGCTCCAGACAAGCCCTACAGGACTCTGTTTACTGTGGCACTGACTGCATCCTGCAGCATGCTGCCGTCACTATGAAGACCCTCTCTGGTCCAAAGGTGCCCAAGCCCAGAGGACGGCCACCGAAAAATGCTGTCGCTGCCAGACCCACCGCTAAGGTAAGCAATTGAGGGCGACATTTAAAGTGTATAGGCAATATACCGTATTTTCCTGCTGAGTCTTTTCTACATTTTGTTTATGATTTTAATAGGAAACCAAAGTGTGAAAATCTATTCTATACTATGAAGTGAAGTTGGATTTTGACCCGTTTAAATATTTTCATCACAGGGTCAGAGGTCGGGTAGGATGTCTAAGAGATTAGCAGAAAAGGCTGAGGAGGAAGGTGAAGAGGAGGTGAAGGAAGATGATGGGCACGAGGAGGCTGCATCTCCCTTAGCCTGCGACCCCAGTCTCTCAGAAGTTCAGGCCACTTCCATACCATCATCTAAGTTAAACACAGCGTGTATGTACCATTCGCTACTCATACACATTCAGATCACACAGCAGTTCACACACACCATGCACAAAGTGCCTCTTTGGGCATTACAGATTTTCCTTCCTCTATGAATCGTGGCACTACGTAACACAATCACACCCAAGCACACACGCACACTTGGACACCTACTCTCTCTGGGATGACTGATAAGTAGCAGGGGTCAGCAGTGGGTAAGTATTTCACTTTTATAGTTCCTTTGTTTATTCGAAATGCCCAAAATGTACCAAAACAGTCTTGACTAGTCGGGATTTAAAGCATTCAACAAAACACAAACTCATTTGAACCAGTCTCATAACTGGTTTCACTGGAAAATACAAAACAGAGCCACTGTGTGTTGGGTAGTGCCGGGTGCTTTACGGCGTCTTTGGTACCAGTGTACTGAAACACTGCTCCGATGGTACTGTGGTCTGACTTTGCAAACTCAAAAGGTTTTCACTGAAGAAAATGACACAATCACTGAATGAGTTGCAAGAATCTTAGTTCCTTAGAAAGGAAGGCTTGACATGTCAACACTTAAGTTATTCTAGAAACATGCCTCGTACGGAGAACAAAGCTGCTGGCCTTGGACCGTACGAAGAATGCTTTACAGTCCAGGTTTAGCGTCTGTTTCTCACCATAACCTCCAGTGCACATAAAGCATACAGTATGTTTTCATATGTTCAGCATTGGCCAACTGTCACACTACACGACTTTCGAATTCATCAGATAGCTGTACAGTCACTACTCAACTTGCAATCTTATAATCTGGAGCCTTGAAGTCGTCGAGGTTTTCACACTACATGACCGACTGGCGACATATGGAGTCAAACACTACAAGACCTTTCACCGGGAGAAAGTGAGGAATCTCTGACTCCGTTTGGTCTCCAAACTGCTACTGGTCACGAAAACGCGTGCGAGAAGTCACTCGGTAATTTGCGTAATACCAAACCCGTAGTAGTGCTTGTTGATGTGGTTTTTGGCTCACGTATTCACAAGCTAGCCTGTTTCTACACATCTTTATTATATATCAATGTTCCTCTAGGTGCAACAACAAACCTACACACAGTTCCAGGCAACCCCTCAACCCTTGTCTTCACTCGTTAGCTGTAGCTAGATATCTGGGATGCGTCTGCTGTGAGCCTCTTGGTTTGCATCTTTGAACAGTTCTCACACACCTCAAGTGTGGATCAACGAGCCAATGACAATCAGGCTCTGATCTGGGAGCTCGTCAGTGGAAAAACAGGGCTAAAGTTAAGATGTTCACATAAAGTTAAGGAAGATGTTCACATATAGACAACATTGCTCATCATTTTGAAATATTGAACCACATCTTGCACATTTTGTTTGCTTTGTCTTTAAATATCCTAACTTTTTAAAATCAGATACTCAAAAGTTTGACATCCCTAACTCCCATCACAGATATGTGGATCTCTGAAGTGATAAGTGGCCTTGTGATACCTTTTTTCAACTGCTGATTGAATACGTAAAAACAAACTTTAGATTATTATTTTGTTTATAGATTAGTGGAAGTGTCCACTGCGCAAGGGGCTTTGCCAAGTTCTGGCAAGATGGCCAGACATAGAAAAACTCACCACCTCTTCACGCCTTGTGCTTTTCTCAAAGTCATTTGTCTTTTCGTAGAAAGACCCCGTTCATGCACCAGTGGTTTGTTCGCACAGACAGAACATTTATTAGTTATCAGGCAACATCTCATTCTCTTTTTTTCTTTTCCTTTCTTTGCAGTTGCATAAAAGAAAAATGAAGTAATAGCTGCAGTTAATCCATGAAATGCACCTCATAACACTCAACATAACATTTTATAACTTTTCCTTCTCCCTCTGTCACGCTGTATCAGGGAAAACTTTGACATCATGCTGCAACTTACAGTGCCTTATCCATCAACACAGACACACGCATTCCCAGAGCAGTATTGTCTTGGATAGGATTCTGAATGCATAGGGACGGTAAAGCTGATGTGGAGGAGGAGTTGACTTCCTGCTGCTGCAGAGGGAAGTGGAGGATTCATCAGTGCAGAGCTAGAATGAGGTTCCACCCGGAGTTCACCCAACAGTAAATGAGAGGTTGGTTGTCACATTTCCATGGGTCAGCTGGTCACTTTCTGAAAAATGCTGCATTCCTCCCAGCATCTGGGAAAAGACTTCAGCCTCCTGCAAACCAAGAAAGTGTACAGTTCACCACACATGCATACAAACTCTAGAGATGAAGGATAGACATCTCTGTAGAGTTTTAGAGGTATGGTGATAAAAGAAGCCTACACGGGTAATCAGTCACATTTAGTTCTGTTAATAGGTGGAAAATAACAAATGCAACCGTGCTCTGATTCTGAACCTCTTACCCCTTAGTTTCTGCGTACACCTCCACATATGTATCCATATTTCTCTATATATTCATACAAAGAGCAGCAAACAGCATCTCAGTTTTCTAAAACTAATTTCCTTTTGAGTACCCTTAGCCAGCTTCTTCGCCCATTCCCCCCCGGTGATAAAAGAACCCTACACGGGTAATCAGAC